GTTGCATTCACAAGCTTCTAGACTAGAATCCGTAATGGGCCAATCGAGTACAATGACTTGACAAGTTGATTTCATCATGTCAAGATATTGTTCTCTAAAGATGAAAACGAGCAATTATCGATAGTCAGAACTATCATTATTCATGACACGCAGCTAACAATTGCCAATTGCAATAAAGGGACAATGCTAAATAAGGTTTGGTTCTGTGGTTGGAGGAATTCATTGCCAAACCACGTGTCACAATGCACATACCAAAATAATAAGAGTTGAGGAATCTTTCCTACTCGCTCCCCGCAATCACCCCACAACAATTTACTGTACATCCTTCATAAGCGACTGCGCTCCGGACCAGACAGAGTCCGAATTTTCAAGAGATTGGGAATACCATCTGCAACCTTGAAGGCTACAGAAGCCAACATTACCGTTATATCCATGCCTAGAGCGCTCCAGCTTTCCAGAGTTTCGGCCAGAGTTTCGGCGGATTTATTATAGTCATTTCTTCCATTGGTGGTGTGGTCATTTCTCTCATTCGTGATCATTCCTCTCATTCGTGATCAAGTTAAGTACAAAGCAACAGGCTTTGAGTATCTAGCCCTTATAGTGTTTTGTATGCTTTCAATTTCAGATTTAGGCATTTCCAGCTATTGTTGCGTTCCCCATTTATCGGACTTGTCTTTTGAGATTCCGAAACGAGATTTATTTCGGTGAGAATGTGGGGAAATATATTTCGTACGAGCTCCCATGTAGTTACTAATACGCAAATCAGGCAATACCAAATCGGATTATAATCAACATTTCATTTCATCATTAATATCAAGTTTGTAACTAGCAAACTTGGTAAGTAGCACTTCTCTCTCAAAAAGGATATCCAACTCCTCGTAGGTGCGGTCTTTGGTTTCTGGTAGACGGAAAATTGCCCATATGAGAGTGGGAAAACTGGTTCCGAACCAAATGAAACCTGTCCTTCCTTTCAATCCCAGATGACCAGGATTCATGAAATATGGCTGTACCACCTGAGCAGTCAACTGGCAGAGAGTGTAGGCATTTCTTCCAATTGCAATCGACTGGGATCTTAACCTGGTACTGGAAACCTCACCCAAAATGGTGTACGCTAAGGGTGCAAGAGTCAAATCAAATGATACAGCCCATTCAAAGATGTAACCAACTTGTGCCCATGCTACCAGTGGGTTTTTGTCTGCTGGAGTCTGTAAGATTCCAATTAGTAATAGAAAGATAGTCATAAAGGAATACCAGTAGAGCTTTTTGTATCAAGTGGCTATTGAACAAGACCGGTCCCCGTGAGATCAAGGACTCTTAGCTCCACATCCTTTGGTGTGGTAAGAACTGAAAATCCCTTATTTTCACAAAGGTTTAGTGTCTCAATATGCGGCTTGACTTTCAATGATTCTAAACCGTTTTGTCTCAAGTCTAGCAAAGTTAGTGTTCGAGGAATGGTGAAATCATCCATGTTTCGCAAACGATTCAGACTCAAGTCTAGTAATTTCGAGCCGAGGGGTAGCTCGATCATCCTGTCATTAATTGTTTTCAAACGACAATCTCTCATATACAATTATTTCAATTTTGATCCTTCGCCAAAGTTGACTCCACTCATAGGCGACATGTTTAACTGTAGTTCTTGTATTGATGGAGGGAATGTGTAGATTTTAAGTGGTCCGGTTCCTGCTTTTGAGAGGTCTAGAAGCTTTAAGTTAGAAGGCAAATGAGACATCAGAGAGAGCTTTAGCTTATTGTCACTGAGAATAAGTACGCTGAAGACACCCTGGAAATTAGGGAATTGAAGTCAACTTATTTCTAGTCAAGTCAATATGCTCAAGAACGGGAGCTTCAATTTCAACATCCTTTAGGGTATTTCTTCTCAAGCACAGCAAGAAAGAAAGGCTTTGAAAGATTATAGCTTATTACTTTCAAGTGAAAGTCTCTTTAATCGGGCTGGCTTTAGCCAGTCGGTAGTCAGGGTAATATCACAAAACTCGAGGTCAACTAAGTTGGGAGGGAATTCAACTCTTTAAACTTAGCAGACGGAATCGAAAGTTTGATCAAGCTGAACGAAAACTTTAACCTGTTGATCTTACCTCTCGGCAGCTCCAATATAAGTTCGAGCAAATTCGGTGGAAATTACAGCTGTTGATGTCACCTGATGGATCCCATAATGTTAGGGAAGTCATATGGGTAAAAGCAGTCAAATTTGTGAGGCCCTCATTATTACTGGAGTATAATGAGCGTAGCAGCGTGGGGATTTCAGCCGAAATAGAACCAGAATATTTATGGCTCGTCAATTTGGGCCGAGCATGGAGAGGACATCATACTTTCTTCCCGCTAGATTAATATAGGAAAAATGTTCCAAATGTTTGTTCCATAGTACTCTGACTATGGCGGAGGAATCGAAAGGTGTAAACGTATCTTCTAGAGCCAACACTGTGAGAGCTTCTAGTTTTGGATGGTTTTCATTCATTGTTATCAGGCAATTTTTGGCTACCAACTTTATCAAATTTATCGGTAATTTCGGATAGTCACATGGTTGAGATATAAGTTCTTCAAGCTGGGGTGGTCGTGGTCAACCTTTATCTGGCAAGTTGTGCCATAAAAAGTCTCCAATCGGAAAATTATTCAAATCGATACAACATCTAGAATAATTGAAAGGCAAATAATCTTGAGATTGATTCATGGTCTGAGAAAATTGGATAGATTGAAAACGCCGGGTTACGGATGTCGGCATGGGTGCCCAATCTTTGACCATTGTAAACCAGATCTATTTCATCAAGGTTTCGATGCATGTCAAAAATGTTGTTCCATGTATAATGGAACCAAAGAGGACAATTGAGTGATTTTTCTTTGAGAGTCTTGTGGATGCGTAGAAATCGGTCTGAATCCGTTTCATAGTAAGCTTCGTTACTTGCAATTTCATGATTTTCAAAGCTTCGAAGTCGCTGTGAATACCATAAATGATTGAGATTGTTAGCTGCTGCTTCAAGGATATTATCAGGAATGTTCTCCAATAGTATGATTTCGGTGAGGAGGTAAGTGCTCAAGTAAGAAAAGCAACGCGTGATTAATTCACGTGGTAAGGTATCAAGATTCATCGCTGGGCTCCTTGATGGTTTTTTATAGTTTGATGCGGCGCTCGGCAATATGAAAAGGACCCTTGATGCATATCACGTGACCGTGGAGTTGTAGTATTTTTAGGCACCACGTGAAAGTCCACATAAATCACCTGTTTTTGAAAAGTAAAGTCAATTTTGTCAACCTCCAATACATCACATCTTGCTTCCCTGTTCCGTTTCTTCGTGTCGCACTCCTGTCCCAAAAAAATTTCTAGTTTTGATTCACCAATTTTCTCGCTTAGACCCCACTTATGCACCACACACGCCCGTGGCTGCGAAAAACAGCCCCGCGAAAATTAAAACGGGGTGATTGGATGTCAATCGGCTACAAAAGTCGGCCGCCCGAATATACACGCAGGCGACCCTTTTGGCCGCTCGAGTATAAATACGCGTGCAAAGTACCGACACAAAATTTTCAGGAATTTTGACTCTAAGAAAGTTGAGTTATTTTCGTGGACAGGTCAATAAATTCCTCATCAACAAAAGCAATGACTCAATTTCAAGATTACTCGAATGATAAATTGATTGAAAAAATGAGAGACAACTCGAAGATTTCAAATAAAAATTTGAATGATGATTTGAACGCCTCAAATGAGAAGTCGATTGAAAGCTTGTTTGAGAATCTCCTGGTCAAAGATAATCAGTCCGACATTGATGCGAAAATGATCTACCGTGTTGGAGATCTTGTGATCGATATTAAACCTCCCAACTATTCTCAAGCAGCGGATAGGGCTTTCCTGAAATTGGCTTATCTGAGATTTGAACACCAAATGGAGAGCATTGTGAAAACCGCACTGAACAACATGTCGATGTATGCTTACAGGCATAACCATGAGCGCAGTCGCACCGCGCGTTACGTGGGGTATAGGAAAAATAAGATATTTCCCAAAGAATTGGCTCACTTGAAAGAGGATCATGAGGACGGTATGGCATACTTGGATAGCCAAATCCGCAAAGGAGTTCAAGAGGCAATTCAGGTAGACAAGTTACTGATGATCGGCATCAACAGTATTGTGCAAGATATGGAGGCACTTCTGAAAAACATAATCGATTCATGTACAAATGGAGAAATGAAAACGGCTATGCGTGATTTGATGCACGAAAAAATTACACTAGCATACGAGGAAATTCAGAGTAATGCCATCGATTCAATCTTCGAGGAAGAGATACATTACCAGGACCGCCAAAGTCTGTTCCAGAAGAAACTCCAGGCTATTTTAGAACGGCGCGCTAAGGCCAGGGCAAGAAGAGCCCAGGAAACCGCCGCTAGCGAAAACAACTTGAAAGACCAGGCCCCAAAAGGAACTGGGTTAGCTGTAAACGGAGAGGATTGTTAAAAGAATCGAATGGGTATGAATTCATTATTCATTATTGGTTCCAAGATCTGGATCAATCATGCGGTTCTACTCAACTATGAGTGACGAATTATATGAAGAAACTTTTAAAGATGATGTCTAAGCTCACAGAATTGTGGTGATAAGCGACCGGAAGTTTCTTGGTAGATACTGCTCTAACAATTGATGTAGACAGGTTTGATTTGTATTTCGTTTGTATTTTTTTAAACAAATTTCGATTTGGTATCCTTGATTGAATCGAGCGTTATTGTAATATTTTCTGAAATTGCAAATATCCAAAATTTTCCAAAATTATCCAAGATTATCTCAAAATCAGCACATTCAAAGTGTACTATGCTATTTTGGAATGCTCTATGGTTAACGAGAACTCTACGTGATGATCAAATCTCGTTGGTTCCACAAGACAATCGTACCTTCATATCAGAAATGCGACATTTGCCAACTTTCAAATAAAGTGCCAACTTAGAGTTCACAGTATTGCAATGCACACACTATAAATTGACTTCATCACCATAAATAGTGAGGGGTAGAACTTGAAAACTTGACTTCAATCTTTCATATCCAAGTTTGCAGGATTTAACGAACCGTCAAATTGACATATAACGTCACTTCCATTTCAGGTCACAAACTAACACAAAAGAGAAAGTTATTTCAAGCATCCGTATTCACCACATCCATTGCTTCACATATTAGGTTTCATTTGTTGTCATAGACTTCATATCACACATTCATTTATCAGATTTCTTTCACTTATTTCCCATCAACTACATTTCAGAACTAAACTCTTTGCAGAAAATGCCAACTTATTCCGTATGTTCTTCTTGTGTCTATTTCCTATGACTCACCCTGAACCACCAACACTGCAACTATTACCTTACACGTGCAGAGCCAAGACTTTTGACGTTTTCTTGGTGCTGCAATATTTATAATGCTCGTTCGGGTGTCGGCTCGGCTTATCCGATGTCAAAACTTCGGCGCGGGCTTCAAACACCACTGGGGCAACGACTAAGAAGATATCTATTAAAAATGGTGACAATACGCTGAAAAGTGATGGTACTATCCTAAACAACTTCAATTTGCTATCCATCTTTTTCAGTTTTATTTTTCCTCCTCAAAATCACAATGTGATTGCAAGCTAGTATTGCAAGGCTAGATTTGCATGCTGCAGATTGCATGTTAGCAGATTAATTAGATAATTATTATTTTGAAGCAAGCCGATCGGAAAAGCTTGGACACTATAAAGCAGCAGTGACAGACCTGGTTTGGCAGAAATGTCTGATAAGTCACAAGAACTCAAATTGGATGAAATTATCGACGAGCTGAAAAGTGTTGAAGAACATGGCTTTAAGCTGGTGGGAGCTTTAAAGGCGCTGTTGATGTACAAGCAGTACCACACTCTAACACACAAAATCTTTATTTTCATCGGTGGTTTTCTTGCTGGTTTTGCTTATATGCTTGACAGTAACCTTCGTTCAACGTTCACAGGTTACGCAACTGGTTCTTTTGGGCAACATTCATTGCTTTCTACTATCAATGTTGTCACTACTATTATTGGAGTAGCAGGACAAGTATTATTTGCTAGGTTATCAGACACTTTTGGCCGGGTGGAGATGTACATTGTGTCTATTGTGCTTTATGTCGTTGGTACAATTGTACAGTCCCAGGCTACTGATGTGGCTCGTTATGCTACTGGTGCCGTAATTTACGAGCTTGGCTATGTTGGCATTGTTCTACTCTTGATGGTGATGATGGCTGATTTCTCTTCGATGAGATCAAGATTACTTTTCATGCTTGCACCTACGTTTGGCAGTGTTATTCTCACTTGGACTTCAGGAAATATTTTATCTGCTGTTGGACCAGAAGCTCATTGGAGTTGGGGTATTGGTATGTGGGCTTTTATTTTTCCTTTGGCCAATATTCCATTCTTGTTATGTTTGGGACACATGTGGCTCAAGGCTAGAAAATTGGACGAATGGAGAGAGTTAAATGGAACGAGAAGAGAGATCTTCAAGAGAGAACGTTTCAATTTTTTTAAAAACTTGTATTGGGAACTTGATGTGGTTGGCGTTGTTCTACTCACTGTTGTTTTGGGTTGCATACTTGCACCTTTAACATTAGCAGGAGGGCTCCAAAAGGAATGGAAAAAAGCTCATATCATTGTCCCCATTGTGGTTGGGTGCGTACTTATATCGGTTTTTCTTCTCTGGGAAAGATTTTACGCCAGGTTTCCCTTGTGTCCTATGACATATTTCAAAAATCGTGGTATATGGTGTCCCTTGGCTATCAGTTTTCTTGTCTTGTTCATCAATATGGTTGCGTCTGAGTACCTTTACACTTTATTGATAGTTGCGGTCAATCAAACTACAACTTCTGCTCAGCGGATAATCACCTTGTGGGGATTTGTAACCAGTATTGTTGGCTTTATTTATGGTTTGGCAGTTATCTATCTTCGAAGACTCAGACCAGGTCTCATATTCGGTACCTCCATGTGGATGATAGCCTTTGGGGATGTACCATTATCGAGGTGGCACAGCATCCAAGCCCGGAATCATCGCTGCTGAAGTTATGATTGGATTCGGTACTTCGTTCTTTTCGTACCCCATTACAGTGATAATGCAAAGTCACTTGAGTCACGACTACTTGGCATCGGTAACAAGTATGGGTTTAACTCTCTACCGCATTGGAGGTGCTGTAGGGTCCTCCGTGGGTGGGGCAATTTGGACACAGACACTTTATGGAAGGTTACAAAAATCGCTTCCTCAAAGCGTGGCTGAAGATGTTTATAATGATCCGTTTACTTGGGTTCTTTCGCACCCTTGGAATACTCTTGAACGGCAGTTGGTGGTTGAGGATTACAGATATGTGGAAAGATTGTTGACAATGGTTGCACTTGTTTTCACTGCCCCATTGATCATTTTGGCTTGTATTACAAAGGAGAAGAAGTTGTCGACTGGAGTGACAGAGGCAGAAGAGGAAACGAAAAGTCAACTGGAGGAAAAATAGTTGGCAAGGCCTCACTGAGATTTTACGAAAGTTTGTGTATACCTTCGAATATGTGCAATGCTAGTAACAAGTTTAGATAATATAGAAGCTGTGCTAGTATATGATTCAATACTATTAAAGACTTGATATCTTCATTGGTGGCTATGCAGGATTCCTCAAAGCAGCACGAAATGGCTGCAAAAAAGTTAAAGAATTGATTGTTTTAGCACCAAAAGGGATCTGTTACCCAATGATGGACCCTTGGACTAATTCTGGAATTAAGGTTAGTATAGTGCTTTTTTTCAATTATTCTGAAATGAGAACAATTTTGAAATTGCGTTTTTCAACAATAAGCAGTTTTGAGTTGAAACGAACATAATCCTCTTCACTTTGAAGTCAGAGCATACCACAAGTTCAAATTTGTGGTGTTTCGCGATTTTATCCTGCCGGCATTGGTGCAACTACCTTGAATAATAATTGTATCAAATTAATCTAAATAATAAATACCGCCAATGTGAAAATATAATTGGCGTCTAACGTCGTAAAGAAATTGAATATTTTTCGCTCCTGAGCAAACAGGCTTTTGAGCCTTATAATCTATAACTGCAAGCAGTCCAAGTAAGCCAGAAACTTCCGGTGAGAAACGATTCGATTTTATATCGAATCACAAATTGATGAAGACAACCATGCTCATAAAAAATGTGAGCATACTCCATGACACAGTATGTGACACGGCAGCTCCTTCATAAACAGTTGGTGATGAGCTTGGAGCAGATGATGAACCTGTAGGCGCACTGTTAGCAGACCCAGATCCAGGTCCCAAGGCAGTTGGTGACGAATTGGAAGCGTAAAGTGTAGGACTTCCACTAGCTGATTGAGGAGATTCCTCAGAGACGGCTGGGACTAAAAGAGAAGCGGTGGGTGAGCCTGGAGCCTCTCCATTACCAGATTCACTTCCAGATCCATTTCCGTTTCCAGATCCACTTCCATTTCCATTTCCAGATCCACTTCCACTTCCACTTCCACTTCCATTTCCATTTCCATTTTCACTTCCATTTCCATTATTTCCGTTTCCAGATCCATTTCCATTTCCGTTTCCAGATCCACTTCCAGATCCAGTAGTTGTTGCTGCAGCACCTGTAGGCTCATTGTTGTTTGATCCTGAGCCAGGTCCGCTATTACCGGTTGGTGCTGGGCCTGTATGTTCACTGTTATCAGATTCGGGACCTGGTCCAGACCCAGATTCTGATTCGGTTGGTGTTGAATTAGCAGCGAGCGATCTTGAAGGCACGCCGTTCTCAGTACCAGTAGCAGCGCCTTTAGTTGGTGATGAACTGAAAGCAGACGATTTGGATCCTCCATTTTGACCGTAGCCTCCATTACCAGAACCTCTACTAGGAGCAACTAATGGAGTGCTCGAAGTCGAGTCTGTAGTACATGGCTCCACAGTTGTTTCTGTGACCGTATCGACAACTGTTTGAGTTGGAGGAACGATATCTGTTCCGCCATTTCCCCTTGTTCTACTCGTTGCATCAACAGAATTCCTGTCTGTCGACGAGGTCTTTCTGCTGGTCGCTTGTGAATAGACTGACGAAGAATCAACGGTTATACAGTTTGAGCCATCTCTTCTACAGATGATTATAGATGAACCACTTGTAGACAAGGAAGGCTGGACTGGAGTTGCAATGGAAGATGCTGAAGAAACGCTGGTGATAATATCAGTGGGTTCTGAGACGGTGACACTAGATGAACCAGTCAAAGAAGCTGAAGTAACATCAGATGAAACTTCAGATTTCGCACCACTGAACGTAACACTAGATGACTCTACTGTTTCGGAGGAAACATCGGAATTCGAAACAGGTGTACCACTTGAGGATACTGCTGATATGGTATCAGAAGTAGATATAGTAGCTGGGCCAGACGTATTACTTGAGGATAATTCTGATGTGGTATCGGAAGATGTTGCAGCTGAGCCAGATGTAATACTCGAGGATACTTCTGAAGTGGTATCAGAAGAAAGGCTTGAAGATGTCGACAAGCCTGGAGTTATACTGGACGATGGCGTAGACAGCTCGGGTGATATGGATGACTCGGAAGAAGATGTCTCTGAGGTTTCACTAGTTGGCGATCCCGAGACGCTGGATGAGTCTGTTGAACTCGAAGATGCCGAGATAACTCCAGAAGAAACAGACGATTCAGCTGAACTCGAAGATGGAACTGATGTGATATCAGAAGAAACAGACGCTTCAGTTGAACTGGATGGAACTGAAGTAACATCAGAAGAAACAGACGAATCAGCTGAACTGGATGATGGGATTGAAGAACTTCCCGAAAAAACAGAAGAATCAGATGTTGCAGACGAACCAGAAGTTATACTGGAAGATGGTGCAGATGTTGAACCAGAGGAACTGTCACTCGTTAAACTAACAGGCACCGAGCTGGTAACCGATGAACTCGAGAAGGCAATTGAGCTGTTAGCGTATGAGCTAGGTGCATATCCAGAAGACGATGAGCTCAAAACTGCAGAGCTAAGCCTGATTGATGGGAACTCTGATGAGGCTGAATTGGACGAGAGAGAACTGGACTCAATTGTGGAGCTGGACTCAATCGTAGAACTGGACTCAGCAGCGGAAGATGAAGCTGAACTTGATTCCGGTGCCGAAGATGAAGCTGAGCTAGACTCAGAAGAAGACGAAACAGTGCTGGACGCAGACGACGAAGCAGAGCTAGACTCAGTTGCGGAAGACGAAGCAGACTCAGATGCCGATGACGAAACGTAGCTGGAAGAAGCTGAGACGACTTCAGAAACCGAAGATGAAGCAGAGCTTGAAACATTGAAGCTAGTCATAGACACTGACAACGAAGCAGAACTGGACTCAGTTATGGAAGACAAACTAGAACTGGATTCAGGCACTGAAGAAGTGACGGAGCTGGACTCAGAAGCTGATAACGAAGCAGAATTGGACTCAGATAACGAACTTGAACTGGACTGAGGTACTGAAGAAGTAACGTTTGTAAGTACCGAAGACGAAACGGAACTGGACTCAGTTATGGAAGACAAACTAGAACTGGATTCAGGAACCGAAGACGTAACAAGACTGGACTCAGAAACTGTCAATGATGGGGGCACTGAAGAAGTAACATTTGAAAGCAGTAATGAAGACAAAGCAGAACTCGACTCGGGCACTGATGAAGAATCAGAACTTGTCTCAGACACTGAAGAAGTGACGGAACTTGAGTTCGATGCCGAAATGCTAGATGGTACTTCAACAATAACCGTTGCTGTGCCGCCCACCAGGGCCGGGAAAGTAATTGTAGAAGTTTCAGTTCCAGTCCAAGTCGAGGTGATGGTGATAGCCGGTGTTGGCACATCAACGACAACGGTAGCATTGCCTCCTGGTACTCCTGAGATGGTAGTTGTAGTGGTATCGGATCCGGTCCATGTCGATGTAATCGTGTTGGTTGGGATTGGAACTTCAACAATAACAGTATCGGACTGTCCAAGTTGTCCTTTTACTGTGGTAGTAGAAGTGTCAGATCCAGTCCAAGTCGAGGTAATAGTAGTAGTTGGGGTTGGCACTTCAACAATAACGGTATTACTCTCACCTGGTCCTCCAGTGACAGTTGTAGTGGAAGTGTTAGTTCCAGTCCAAGTAGAAGTAACGGTAGTTGTTGGAGTAGGTACTTCAACTATAACAGTATCGGAGCCACCTGGACCACCTTTCAAAGTTGTAGTCGAAATTTCAGATCCAGTCCAAGTAGATGTAATGACAGTAGTAGGAGTTGGAACCTCGACGATAACAGTATTACTTTGGCCTGGACCTCCAATAATCGTGGTGGTTGAAATGTTAGAACCAGTCCAAGTGGATGTAAGAGTGGTCGTTGGTGTTGGAACTTCAACAATGACGGTCGCTGATCCACCTGGTCCTGCTGGAATCGTTGTAGTGGATATTTCAGATCCAGTCCAGGTAGAAGTTATCGTAGTTGTAGGAGTTGGAACTTCGACAATCACTGTGTCACTTCCACCGAGTCCACCTTTAAGTGTGGTAGTTGAGGTTTCAGATCCAGTCCATGTAGAAGTTATAATTGTAGTTGGAGTTGGCACTTCGACAAAAACAGTGTTGCTTTCACCTGGTCCTCCAATGGCAGTGGTGGTTGAAACATCAGAGCCAGTCCATGTAGAAGTAACGGTAGTTGTAGGAGTTGGAACCTCAATAACGATGGTAGCATTACCTCCAGGTGCGGCAGAAATAGTGGTTGAAGTAGTTTCAGAGCCGGTCCAAGTGGAAGTAATCGTATTGGTTGGAGTAGGCACTTCAACAATAACGGTAGCAGTACCACCTTCACCAGCTGTAATGGTTGTGGTAGAAATATCCGATCCAGTCCAAGTTGAAGTGATCGTACTAGTTGGGGTTGGAACCTCGACAATGACAGTGTCACTTTCACCTGGACCTCCCTTGATAGTAGTAGTTGAGGTTTCAGATCCAGTCCAAGTAGAAGTCATAACAGTGGTGGGAGTTGGAACTTCAACAATAACGGTATTACTCTCACCTGGTCCTCCAGTAACAGTTGTAGTGGATATCTGTGATCCAGTCCAAGTAGAAGTTATAATTGTAGTTGGGGTTGGAACTTCAACAATGACAGTATCGGAGCCTCCAGGTCCACCCTTCAATGTAGTAGTCGAGATTTCAGAACCAGTCCAAGTCGAAGTAACAATTGTGGTTGGAGTAGGAACCTCCACAATTATCGAGTTTGTTCCACCGGGACTAGCAAGCGCTGTAGTAGTTGTGGTATCCGAGCCTGTCCATGTAGACGTTACAGTAGTATCAGGAATTGGAAGTTCCACCACAATGGTGTTAGTTCCTCCAGGGCCACCACTGACAGTAGTTGTAGTAGTACCGGAACCGGTCCATGTCGAAGTGACGGTGGTAGTAGGAGATGGTATCTCAACAATCACAGTATCTGTGCCTCCAGGCACAGCCTTGATAGTCGTTGTAGAAGTATCAGAACCCGTCCAAGTACTTGTAGCAGTTGTGACTGGAATAGGAAGCGCAACAATCACAGTAGCCGTACCACCTGGAACAGCTGCCACGGTAGTGGAAGTGGTACCATTTCCAGTCCATGTTGTGGTTACAACAGTAGTTGGAATTGGATCGTACTCCACAATAGTGACAGTTCCTCCTTTCGTAATTTCACTGAAGGTGGTGAACAGGGTTTCCAGTCCAGTCCATGTCGAGGTAAGTGTGGTTACTGGAGTTGGAAGATCAATTTCCACCGTTCCCGTCTCTCCAATTCCTGCGGTAACTGTATTGGTGATGGTGGATTTTCCAGTCCAGTAATCAGTAATGGTGGTTGTTGGAATTGGCAAATCAACTATAACCGTTCCTGTTTCACCGGGGCCAGCAGTAATTGTAGTTGTGGATGCTACTGATCCGGTATAGGTTTGAGTAATTGTAGATGTAGGAACAGGGACATCGACTTCAACGGTTCCCGTCTCTCCGGGAGTGGCAGGGTATGTGGTGGTAATCGTTACGGATCCAGTATACGTTTTGGTGATGAGGGTCGTTGGTACTGGTTGATCAATTTCCACAGTTATGGTTTCTCCAGGACCAGCACTGTAGGTGGTCGTAGTCAATTCACTTCCAGTGTAGGTTTTGATAACGGTAGTGGTTGGCGTTGGCACCTCAACAATAACGGTGTCAGAGCCACCAGGACCACCTTTAAGAGTAGTGGTCGATATCTCTGAACCAGTCCATGTTGAAGTGATAACAGTAGTAGGAGTAGGAACTTCAACAATTACTGTATCTGAGCCACCAGGTCCACCTTTGATAGTGGTGGTAGAGGTGTCAGAACCAGTCCATGTGGAGGTGATAATTGTAGTTGGGGTTGGCACTTCCACAACGACGGTAGCTGTTCCACCAAGAGTTGCTGGAATGGTGGTTGTAGTAGTGTCAGAGCCGGTATAAGTGGAAGTGATTGTGTTGGTGGGAGTAGGAACCTCAACAATGACAGTGTCTGAACCACCTGGTCCACCTTTGAGTGTGGTGGTCGAAACTTCAGATCCAGTCCAAGTAGAAGTGATGATTGTGGTTGGCGTAGGAACCTCAACTATGACGGTATTGCTTTGTCCTGGACCTCCAGTAATAGTCGTAGTGGAGATATACGATCCAGTCCAAGTAGAAGTTATAACAGTTGTAGGAGTTGGAACCTCAACTATAACGGTTGCAGTACCACCATTTGGAGCTGTCACAGTGGTTGTGGTTGTTTCTGATCCTGTACCAAGTCGAAGTAACAGTAGTTGTTGGAGTTGGAACCTCGACAACAACGGTATTACTTTCTCCTGGTCCTCCTGTAATAGTAGTCGTGGTTGTTTCGCTTCCAGTGTAGGTAGAAGTAAGAGTAGTAGTTGGAGTAGGACTTCACAATAACGGTATTACTCTCACCTGGTCCTCCAGTACAGTTGTAGTGGCAAATATCAGAACTTGTCCAAGTAGAACTGACAGTAGTAGTAAGGGTAAGAACTTCGACAATAACTGTATTGCTTTGACCAGGTCCTCCAGTGACAGTAGTGGTTGAAATATCAGAACCAGTCCAGGTAGACGTAACTGTAGTAGTCGGAGTTGGAACTTCAACAATCACAGTATCTGAACCGCCAGGGCCACCCTTAATGGTCGTGGTGGTAGTTTCAGATCCAGTCCAAGTAGATGTTATAACCGTGGTAGGAGTAGGCACTTCCACAATCACCGTAGCAGTTCCTCCTGGTCCGGCTGGAATTGTTGTAGTTGAGATGATAGAGCCGGTCCATGTAGATGTCAAGGTGCTGGTTGGGATTGGGACTTCAACAATGACGGTATCTGAGCCACCTGGACCACCTTTAAGAGTAGTAGTTGAAGTTTCAGAACCAGTCCAAGTCGAGGTGATGATTGTGGTAGGAGTTGGAACTTCAACAATAACGGTGTTTGACTGTCCTGGTCCACCCTTGATGGTTGTAGTGGAAATATCAGACCCGGTCCAAGTTGAAGTAATGGTGGTCGTTGGTGTTGGGACTTCAACAATGACTGTATCACTTCCTCCAGGTCCCCCTTTCAAAGTGGTGGTTGATATCTCTGACCCAGTCCAAGTAGAAGTTATAATTGTGGTAGGAGTAGGAACCTCAACAATAACGGTATCGCTTCCACCAGGTCCTCCTTTCAAAGTAGTGGTTGAAATCACTGATCCAGTCCACGTAGATGTAATGATAGTTGTAGGAGTTGGAACCTCAACAATAATGGTATCGGTGCCTCCAGGAGATGCCTTTTTGGTGGTGGTAGAAATATCAGAACCGGTCCATGTAGAAGTCACAGTGGTGATTGGAATTGGAAGCTCAACAAGAACGGTGTTGGTACCTCCTGGACCACCGGTAATGGTGGTGGTGGTGATTCCTGACCCTGTCCAAGTCGTGGTTAATGTCGTAGTTGGAGATGGGGTTTCAATTACAACGGTATCAGTTCCACCTGGCACAGCTTTGATGGTAGTAGTAGCAACTTCTGAACCGGTCCATGTCGAGGTGATGGTCGTCACAGGAATAGGAAGTTCAACAATTACCGTAGCTGTACCTCCTGGCAGAGCAGGAACCGTGGATGTGGTGGTTCCAGACCCAGTCCAAGTTGTAGTGATGGTTGAGGTTGGAATAGGATCGTATTCAACAATTGTAGCAGTCCCACCGTTCTTGGTTGCACTATACGTGGTGTACAGAGTTTCCGGACCAGTCCATGTCGAGGTAAGTGTTGTTACTGGAGTTGGAAGGTCAATTTCCACGGTACCTGTTTCGCCAATGCCGGCAGTTTTGGTAGTGGTAATGGTGGATTTTCCAGTCCAGTAGTCAGTAATGGTGGTTGTTGGAATTGGGACATCAACAATAACGGTTCCTGTTCCACCAGGACCAGCAGGAATTGTACTTGTGGAAGCTACTGATCCAGTATACGTTTGAGTAATGGTGGATGTAGGAACAGGAACATCGACTTCAACAGTGCCAGTCAGACCAGGTCCAGCAGTAATGGTCTTGGTGGTGGTTATGGAACCAGTAGTCTTGGTGGTGGTCAAGGTGGGTACTGGAACTTCAATAATAACCGTTCCTGTGGCTCCTGGAGCAGCAGGTACCGTAGTAGTGGTGATAACGGAGCCGGTATATGTCGAAGTCACAGTGGTAGTGGGCACAGGTATTTCGATCACAACGGTTCCTGTTTGTCCTGGAGTAGCTGTTATCGTGGTAATGGTAATAGTCGAACCAGTATAGGTTGAAGTCACCGTGGTTGTTGGGATTGGAACTTCAATAATTACTGTTCCCGTTTGACCAGGACCACCACTCACGGTGGTTGTAGTTGTCACTGATCCGGTATAGGTTGATGTGATTGTTGTCGTTGGAACAGGAATATCGAATTTCAACTGTTCCTGTTTGCCCTGGTGCTGCAGAATTGGTTATGGTGGTGGTTCCTGAACCGGTCCATGTTTTAGTCAAAGTGCTGGTGGGAACTGGAAGCTCAATAATGACCGTGCCTGTTTGTCCAGGAGTGGCAGTTACAGTAGTGGTAGTTATGACAGACCCTGTCCAAGTTGAAGTAACGGTGGTAGTTGGCACGGGAATATAGTTGATAACAGTGCCCGTTTGCCCTGGAGAAGCGGTAACGGTACTGATTGTAGAGCCAGTTCCAGTCCAAGTTGAAGTGACGGTGGTTGTTGGAACTGGAAGCTCAATGATAACTGTACCTGTTTGACCTGGAGTAGCAGTTACAGTAGTGGTAGTTATGACAGACCCTGTCCAGGTTGAAGTCACTGTGGTGGTTGGAACGGGGATATAGTTGATAACAGTTCCAGTTTGTCCCGGTGTAGCGATAACGGTACTTGTGGTGGGACCAGTTCCAGTCCATGTTGAAGTCACAGTAGTTGTAGGAACAGGAATATCAATCTCCACAGTTCCAGTTTGACCTGGAGTAGCGGTAGCGGTTTTGGTAGTAACGACTGAGCCAGTCCATGTCTTGGTGAAAGTCGTAGTAGGAACAGGAATATAGTTGATGACTGTACCAGTTTGACCTGGTGTAGCTCTAACCGTGCTGGTTGTCGAGCCCACACCCGTCCAAGTAGAAGTGACAGTGGTTGTTGGAACCGGCACATCAATTTCAACGGTTCCGGTTTGACCTGGGGTTGCGGTGAAGGTGGAAGTGGTTGTAACAGAACCAGTGTAAGTTTTGGTGGTGGTGATTGTTGGAATTGGAACATCAACCTCAATGGTTCTAGTGGCACCCGAAACAGTGCTACTATAAGGTAAGGTGGTGATGGCGGTGGTGGATCCAGTATAGGTTCTGGTGACAATTGTGTTCACAAAATTTTGACCATTTCCACCGGTATTACCATTGGTGTAAGCAATCCAGTTATATGTGTAGGTGAGTGGAGTCGTTGCTCCCGTTCCACACTTGTAGGTTTGAGTGTAAGTAGCAACATTTTGACCAGCGGGTAAATAAGGTGAGTAGATATTGATGTATGGGCGATAACCAGCGGGCACACCCGAGTATGTGATAAGAACCAGGCTCAGAGAACACAGCACTGTGTAACTGAAAGAGTATGCATTTTTGGGAAAGTACCAATCGTTTACCATATTGGTTATTGCAGCCGTCAAGGTTCCACATTGCAACGTAGGTCCCCCACTAGCAAAACTGATTCCAAGAGTGCCAGATTGGGTTGTCAGAGCACACGAAGTACCCATGAGAAACCACTGGATTTGGTTTGTCGAAGGAGCAAGTTTTGCACCATAATTGTTCACAGCCGGAGTGGCAGATAATGCACCAGCGACAAAAGTCACCGTTCCAGTTATGGTTTTCGAACCGGTAGTCCAAGAAACAGTGTTTGTACCTGCAACCCAAAAGTTGGCGCCTTCAATGGCTGGAGTTGCCGAGGAAAACCCAGGATCAAAAGTGATGGGAAAATTAATGGAGCCGATGGCTACGTTACTGGTGGTTAATCCAGATGCTACCGTACATTGCAATTCGGAGTAGTCCACAATAAACTCTCCGGAAAACAAGTTACAAGTAGCATAGGTGACTCCATTAGCAGTAAGCGAGATAGTATTGGTATCAGAAGTGAATTTGAACACATGCGGCATGTTCAAATTGAAAGTGTCTCCGGCATTTACCGCTCCTCCGTCGAGCATCCAAGACACGGTGGCCTGCCATGAAGTCAGCTGAGGCCATGGATAAGTAACCGCGGAACCTGTTGCAACAATGGAGTTGACGCTGGTGAAGACACCATTGAGAGCCACCGCTTGCGCCTGCAACGCAAACGTTAGTAATGCTGCAAAACACCAGAATATCATTGGAAATTGTGCTTCAGCTTTTCACAACCGGTAGACGCTCAGCGGTAACAACCTAGTTGGAATTCGAGGGCATATCGTCATTATATTCGGCAACATGACGCAGTATAGGGCCGAAGAGGGCAGACGCACCTCACGGTGCAAACTTAGAACCGAGCCTCACGAATATGCAAGTTCCAGCTTGTGCATGGTGCAGGATGACAAGGGCAGAAACACGCAGAAATACTGATTTTTTGTGCAGCGGTATGTCCACTAGGGCGAAGTGCAACTGAATTACGGCGGAATTGCGAGATATGCTTCCCAAACAGTACCGGTGCGGGCCGAAACGATGCATGGCGGTTATGTGATAGGTGTTTGCGAAATGTTAATTCTGTGGAAGAATGAGGCCGGTGGGTATTTGTGAAGAAATGACAATTATAGAATATTCCTGGCTGATGCCGAATATTCTTTTTCTGATGCCGGTTATTCTGTTCATTCTTGCAAGCTTTGATCGTTTAAACATTCACATGCAGAATAATCGAGATGCTGTGCACGTAATTTAGCACAAAATAGATTATTTTTTCTCAGAAAATATTGGAATTTCATTAGCCTTCTGAGAAACGAATCTGGTAGAAAAGTCCACCTGTGCCTCGGTAGCTCAGCTCCAAGTAATTTTAATACCTGTAGAGTAACTCCCTTCATGCCGCCTCTTGCCCCGCGCTCAAAATTTGAGGCGTAAAGTTGTTATCTTCTCGTAACGAGATCCTGCAGCCAGTGTGAGGCTTGGTCGGGTAATCTGAAGATCTGGAAGTATTTTCGGTCTTAGAGGGTCAATTCGAGCCGGAAAAGTCTTGATATTAAAGCCAGGTTATGCCTCTCGTTCGTGATTTCATTTATGGTTAGTCTTCATCTTGTTCAGTCTCTTGCATCAGAGTAGGACCCTTTTTCTCAATTTGGAGAAAAAACAAAAAAAGAATTCGCACTGATCCATGCATGAAAGAGATACGAAGCACATTAACGCCGGATCCTTGAAAAAATATTTGAGTTTGTGGAAGCTTGCTATAACCGAAAAATGGCGGCGATCGCCGAAATCTGGGAGGGGGGGAGGCGCAGTGCGTCATCTGGTTATGGACCATTTTGTCGGTTGGTCAAAGAACCTTTCTTATTTGGGCGATGAGGCTTCTCATGCGTGGAACGAACTGCGTAAATGCAACTGTACGTAGGAAACTCTTCCTATTTAGGAAGTGTTTTTAGGATGTAGCGAACGAAAAAGGATGAAATGAACGCTAAAGATTAATTCAAAGGATGAAATGAGTCTTTTTGAGGTGTAACTTAAACGAATATTTGATAGTACTTTGAAGGGTATATTGAATATGATTGAATGAAAAAGTTTAATAAAATTGAGTTTAGGTTCGTGGTTTCCAGATTCTGCAAGCGACTAATTGATAAGGTTAACCCGTTTTGGAACTTGAACGCAGGAAGAGCTTCACGTTTTTGTAGAGTAAAAACCGATGGCAAAATCGATGGCAAAATCGATGGCAAAATCGATGGCAAAATCGGTGCCGAAATCGGTGCCGAAATCGAGCAATCAAAAAAATTGTTTATTCAAGATGCCTTTACGAGAGCATTACTTTCTTCTCTTCACATCTTTTGACATTAGATTTTTGACTTGGCGCCTCTCTCTCCGTATTTCTCGTAATTCAGTGTTCTTTCGCAATTTAGATTGTATTTTCTGCTTTCGTCACTCTGCATCCAGGCTTCAGTGAACCGAAATAATATTTCTTTCTTTTTAGAAGATCTAATTTTTTGAATCTGGAATCATACGTTTTCTGGACCAAACGTGTTTCAAATTGGAAAATTGGGTACATTTCTGCATTTATTATGATTTAGCCACAGCGCAAAGTGCCGCCACTGGTGATACAAGAAGTAGTAAACTGATCAATAAACTTTCAGAATTTAAGCCTTTTAGAGCATTCAGCATTTATCTGATGCGTTTACTTTTGATTATAAAATTCGATTGTTCAAAATAACCATAAACATAATTGGCTATACTTACTTTTGGATATTTCAGCAATTGCAAAAATTCTGAAAATTCCAATTATTGAGAAATATTACTTCTCCCCAAATCATCATGTGGCTCTCATATTTTCAGTGGCTTTCGGCGACCACCGTTCCATGATCGGCACATGGCTCGGTTTCTTATCCTTATCATTTTCCAAATTAGCGCAATTTTTGAAAGGCTGAGGGGTTAATTCTAAAGCTGGAAAAAGTCAACAATTGGAGTACACCAATAATCACAAGTCCATTACTGCAATGCTCTCCCACAGGCTTGGTCTTTGATTTATGCTCTCACTTTTCCATGCCTCGCACGGCTGCGCGGTCCGAACTCCGCCGATGGATTTATGTCCCAAATCAGTAAATCTCGGCCGAGCACGTAACTATAAAGAATATCATGGTTGACACAATTGGCCGCAACCATGTCCGAAAAGTACACTGAGAATGCGTATGATGATAAAATCATCCCGCAAAAACGACTATTTTCGTTTCTAACATCCAAGGAAATCCCTCCTTTACCGTCTCCTGATGAACGAAAGATTTACCCAGAATCCTCCGCCAACATTATTTCCAAAATCTTTTTCTGGTGGCTCAATCCCATCATGAGAGTTGGCTATAAGCGAACCTTGCAAGAAGAGGACTTGTTTGTTCTTCCCGACGAAATGACAATTCAAGTTCAAGCCAATCGCTTTCACGAAAAGCTCGCTGCCCAAATCGAAAGACGCCCTTCCGTGCCTAATTATACTTGTGCCTTGACTCTTTACAAGACCTTTCAATCACCATTCTTGCTAGCATGTCTGTTTATGGCGTTGTCTAACATTGCTTCTACATTGAACCCACTTTTAACTCGTCATCTCATCACCTATGTTGAAGAAAGAAGTTATGGAAGAGAGTCTAACATTGGTAAAGGAATTGGATACGCCATAGGTTCAGCACTTATTGTGTGCTTTGGTGGTATTGCACAAAACCACTGTAATCAAAAGGCAATGATGGTGGGTGCCACTTGCAAATCAGTACTTACCAAGGTAATAATCGAGAAATCTTTTCGACTTAGTCGTCTGTCTCGACGTCAATATCCTTCAGGGAAAATCACCGCTATGCTCGGTGCTGACATTGCCAGAATTGATATCTGTGTGGGATTTCTCCCTGTGCTTCTTACGTTTCCTATTGCATTGGCTATTTCCATAGTCATTCTTGTGGTCAATATTGGGGTATCTGCCTTAGTGGGAGTAGCTTTGGTACTTATATTCATGGTATTGCTCACATATTGCTCCCAGCTTTTAATGGCTATTAGAGGCATTGCCAACAAATTCACCGATGCCAGAATTAATTACATCCAAGAAATCCTTTACAACATGAAAATCATAAAATTTTATTCATGGGAGACACCCTACTACAAACGAGTTCTTGAACAGCGGAAACAAGAAGTAAAGACGGTTGCAAAAATGCAAACGATTCGGAATCTCTTGATGGCAGGCTCAATGTCGTTTACTACAATTTCATCCATGGCTGCGTTCTTGGTTCTTTATGCTTTACGAGGTACCAACAATGCCGCTGGAATCTTTTCATCTTTGTCACTTTTCAACATTTTGGCCCAACAAGTGTATGTTCTTCCTTTGGTTACGGCCAATGCCGCCGACGCTTATATCGCCGTAACTCGAATTAATCGCTTTTTGTGCGCCGAAGAAACGGTTGAAGAAGATATTGAGGTTCCTGAGCTGGTAGAAAATGCCATTGAAATCAAAAATGCCGACTTTTCATGGGATTATGACGAAGCAGACGAGTTTGGAGGGCTTTATGACATTTCTTTAGATGTCAAACAGGGAGAATTGGTTATTATCACCGGAGTTATTGGCTCAGGCAAAACGTCGCTTCTCAATGCCATAGCAGGAATTATGCCTCGACAACACGGGATGTTGAAAATGAATGGTTCATGCTTATTTTGTGGAGTACCATGGATTCAGAATGCCACTGTCAAGGAAAACATTTTATTTGGATTGCCGTTTGATTTCAAAAAGTACCATGAGGTTATTAAAGCTTGTTCGTTGGAAGCGGACTTGGATATGCTTCCTGCTGGAGAAGACACCGAGATTGGTGAGAGAGGAATCAACATATCTGGAGGACAGAAAGCCAGAATCTGTCTTGCTCGAGCAGTTTATGCCGACAATGATATACTCTTGATGGACGACGTTTTGAGTGCTGTGGATGCCAAGGTTGGGAGAGATATTATGAACAATTGTATTCTTGGGCTTCTTCAAAAAAAGACTCGAGTGCTAGCGACCCACCAGCTTTCGCTTATTCAGTCGGCAGACAAGGTGGTGTTCATCAATAATGGCAAAATCGATGTGGGAACAATTGAAGAAATTTCGAAGCGGAACCAGGATTTTGTGAGCTTGATGACCCATGCAACAACCAGCGAGCAAAAAGACGAAACAAAAGAAAGCCAAAAAAAGGAAGCCACCAAAGAGGTTTTGGATGGAAAGTTAATGAGAAAGGAAGATAGGGCTACAAATAGCCTTGGGTTTAATGTCTACAAATCATATATGAAGTTGGGGTCTGGAATTTTCACTGTTTGGGGATGGCTTGCTTTCTACCTTTTGAACACTGCCTTGGCTACTTTTTGTCAATTGTTCTCAAGTACATGGTTATCATTTTGGGTCGAGAAGAAATTTTCGATTTCCAGCGGCAGCTACATTGGGCTTTACGTCATGTTCTGTATGCTCACAGTGGTCTTTCTTGTCAATGAATTGTTAAGTTTGGTATATCTCACCAACACTGCTGGCTATAAGCTCCATAACAAGAGTCTCAAACGGATTTTACATACTCCGATGCTGTTCTTGGACACAACTCCCTTGGGTCGAGTAATGAACCGGTTTTCAAGAGACACCGAAGTTTTGGATAATGAGATTGGAAACCAGTTGCGAATTGTGAGTTACTCGCTCTCATCAATCATTGGAGTTTTAATTCTTTGTATTGTTTATTTGCCATGGTTTGCAATTGCTATTCCATTTTTGGTATTTGTCTTTGTTGCGTTTGCAAGCTACTACCAAGCGTCTGCTCGAGAGGTCAAGCGACTCGAATCAACTCAAAGGTCTTTTGTCTATTCAACTTTCGGAGAAATCTTGAGTGGAATGGAAACTATCAAAATCTACCTGATGCAGCTGCGTTTTTTGAACCGGGTCAATTACGTTGTCGACAAAATGAACGAAGCATATTTCATCACCATCACCAATCAGCGGTGGCTTGGAGTACATCTCACTTTGGTTTCGTCTTTTTTTGCTCTTATAATTGCACTTCTTTGTGTTACCAGAGTGTTCAATGTCAGTGCTGCGTCGGTGGGTTTGTTGCTATCGTATGTTCTTCAAATAACGCAGCAGATGATCCAGATGATGAGATCTCTCACCCAGGTTGAAAATCAGATGAATTCCGTCGAGCGGTTAAACCAGTACGCTATGTATCTCGAGCAAGAAGCACCATACAAATTGGGACCACTTCCCGAAAACTGGCCGTCTAAAGGACAGATCCAGTTCAACAACGTGAGTGTTGCGTACAGAAAAGGACTTCCTCTTGTGCTCAAAAACTTGAATTTTTCAATCAAAGCAGGAGAGAAAATCGGAATCTGTGGTCGTACTGGGGCGGGAAAATCGTCCATTATGAACACATTGTTCCGAATCAATGAACTATCATCAGGATCCATCGTTATAGATGACATTGATATCAGCAAAATTGGACTAGAAGACTTGCGGTCGAGATTGTCCATTATTCCCCAGGACCCAATTCTCTTTGTGGGCAGTGTCCGGAGAAATTTGGATCCGTTTAACCAGCACGAAGACCTGGTTCTCTTGGATGCCTTGCGGAAAGCTCACTTGATCTCTGCTAACGAGAAGGAACTGATGATAAGAGAAGAGTTGCAAGACCATAGGTTCAATCTCGATCATGTGGTGGAGGAAAATGGCGATAATTACTCACTCGGTGAAAAGCAATTGCTTTCGCTTGCCCGGGCCCTCGTGCGCCAAACGAAAATCCTCATACTAGACGAGGCCACCTCGTCTGTAGACTACGAAACAGATGGGAAAATTCAAACCACCATTGCAACTGAATTTCGCAGCCAAACCATTCTCAGTATTGCTCACCGTCTCCATACTATTCTCTCGTACGACCGTGTTCTAGTTCTTGACCAGGGCAAAGTAGTGGAGTTCGACACACCGGTAAATCTCTACCGAGCCGGCAAAATTTTCTGGGAAATGTGTAACAAGTCCAATATTAGTGGTGCAGATATTGAAGCTGCAAATAGGTAAAAAAAAACTGCATATAGCCTGGCGAGCGCTGCCCGATTAGGAACGTTAATAAACATGTCGCACCAAATTATTGTAGACTTCCTCGATCAATGAAGTGATGCCAGACATCCGCAATGAATATGAGGCATTAGAAGTGATAGGCAAGGGATCTTTTGGTACCGTGCGCAAGGTGCTTCAAAAACTGACCCGCAAAATTTTTGTAAGGAAAGAAATTGAATATACTTCAATGAACGGTCAAGAAAGAAACCAATTGATTTCCGAGCTTCGGATTCTACGAGAGCTCAACCATCCCAACATTGTCAAGTACTATCGCCACGACCATATCCAGGAGTCCAAAACCATACATATCTACATGGAGTACTGCGATGGTGGCGATTTGGCACAAGTCATAACCAATTTCAAGACGAATGGAGATACAGTTCCCGAGGAATTTGTATGGCAAGTGTTGATCCAGACCCTCTTAGCATTGCACAGGTGCCACTACGGTGCCGATGCTCCAAAAGTAAACTTATTCTCAACCAGGACACCTTCAGAACCCAACATCGACCGAGAGCAAGTGGTGATTCACCGTGATATAAAACCAGATAACATCTTTATGCTCAATTCGGGCAAAACCATCAAAGTGGGCGACTTTGGGTTAGCCAAAATGTTGACGTCGAACGAATTTGCCAAAACGTATGTGGGGACGCCATACTACATGTCGCCTGAAGTTTTGATGGACAATCCATATTCTCCGGTTTGTGATATATGGTCATTGGGGTGTGTTTTGTACGAGCTTTGCTCATTACAACCTCCTTTCAAAGCCAAGACCCATCTTCAGCTCCAAAGTCGCATTAAACTGGGAATAATTGCCGAATTGCCGGACCACTATTCCAACCATCTCCGCACCATCATCAAAGATTGCATCACCGTCGACCCCAACGTGAGACCTTCGTGCTACGAATTGCTCGACACGTTATCGGTTCGGTTTCTTCGTAAAGAAATGGAACTTAAAGACTCAACTAGTCGGCTTGACGAGTACCAGAAACAACTACTGAAGAGAAACGACGAACTTAATAAGCGGGAAAGCGCTCTCAACTCCTTTGAGCGGGACCTCAAGGATGAATACGCCAACATGCAGAAGAAGTTTGCACTACAAAGAAAAAAAATCGAAGACGAACTCATGGAAGAATTCGATATGAGAAAAAATGTCATGGACCAAGAAGCAGAAGAAGTGCGGTTGAATTATCAGCGTGAATTCAAACATGTAGTAGAGCACGAGGTACAGCTCCGGTTAAAGGAGATGAAGAAAAAAATGGAACTGCCGCCAAAACCAAAAGGACCAAGAGAACTCGTGGATATCAGACGACCCCCACTCAAAGCCCGAGTTGAAAACGAATACGATAATAGGCGAAAGCGTATAACTGACGAGTTGGAGCGGTTGGCATTGGACAAGCGCCATGTGCCCGAATACGAGGAACGGTACATGCGTCGGCATTACAATTGAAGCGATTAACGGTAGGAAACTTTTCAGGTTTAGCGGAATTACGGTTATTGTTCAGGGCAGTGCAAACGATGGAATCTTTAGGATTATCTAGATTTTTCTTCGGCACTATTATAATAAATGAAGCATAAGGTTACTGGCCTGTCGGATAACTACAGGATTTACTCGTTTTCGATGAGTTCACTTACTCTTGTCTATTAATTCCACGTCTTTTGTGTCAATGCCTCGTAGGCTTCCACATACTTTTCCTTAGTACGAACCGCAATCTGGTCGTCCATCTTCACTCCGTCTACCCCATTTAATTTGTTGGCCGTGAGCCAATCTCTCAAAAATTGTTTATCGTACGAGTCCTGCGATTTGCCAACAGCATACGACTGGGCGTTCCAGAAACGCAGCGAGTCTGGTGTCAACACTTCGTCTACAAGAACCAATTCGTCATTGGAATCCAAACCAAACTCAAACTTTGTGTCTGCAATAATGATGCCCTTGGTCTTGGCATACTCTTTAGCACGCACATACAAGTCAATGGCAGCGGCCGCTAACTTGTCACAAAGCTCTTGACCTACAATTTTAGCAGCTTGTTCAGGCAGAATATTTTCATCGTGCTCGCCCTGATCAGCTTTGGTAGATGGAGTGAAAATAGGAGTTGCAAATTCCTGGGACTCCTGTAATCCCTCCTTCACTTTAAGACCGTGCACGGTGCCTGACTTCTTGTACTCTTTCCATGCCGAGCCAGTAATATAGCCTCTAACAATCACTTCCAAAGGAACAAGTTTCAACTTGCGGACAAGAAGAGATCTTCCTTCTAACTGTTGACGATATTTGGGCTCAGCCAACTGAGCAGGGAGCCTGGAAAAGAGGTCTTCTTTGATCAAATGGTTTGAAAACGGAAGAAAATCGAACCAAAATTCAGAAAGCTGGGTCAAAATCTTGCCTTTATCAGGAATACCATTTTCCATAATTACATCATAAGCCGATATACGATCGGTAGCCACAAATAAGAGTGTTTGGTCATCAACCTGGTAGATATCACGGACCTTTCCCCTGGCGATCAAGGGCAAAATGCCATCGAGATTGGTGGTGGTAAGAGACATGATTGACTCGCGCTAAATGAATTAGCGATAAAAGAGAGGTGTACGGGTGAGAAGAATTAGTGCGGGTGCGAAAATTACTAGCGCGAAAATAGCGAAGGAAATAGTGAGAGGTGTGCGAGTTGTGAGAGGTGTGCGAGTTGTGCGAGGTGTAGCGAGGTGTAGCGAGGTTTGTGCGAAATTGTGAGGTGCGCGCGAACGCGATAGTATTTTGTATTTTGATCGCGTCGCACTCTTCATGTCTAGCACTCGTCCAGATTTGCGTTTTTCCGACGCTGGCGATGAGAGACTGTACTACAGAAAGTTTGCGCAGCTTCCTCCAAAGGACGCGTCTACCATTCGGGTCATGGATCACAACAATCGTGACTATTTTACCGTGCTCGATGAAGACGCCGATATGATCGCAGATAACATTTACAAGACACGTCTGGTGATAAAAGCCAGCAACGCTCACCGCTACGTGACCATCTCTCCTCAGGTATTCTACAACACGGTGCTTCGGTTCTGCCTCATTGAAAACCACCTCAAGGTGGAAGTTTACCACTCAAAGACATTCGAGTTGGTCACCATGGCCACACCAGGCAACCTTGAAAGTATTGCCAACGAGTACGGGATAAACCTTGAAAGCGCAGACTTTCTGTCTCCCATGGTGGCAGCGGTCAAATTTACCCCGGCGAAAAAAATCGGTGTTGGTCTCGTGGACTTGCTGAACTCGTCCATCCAGTTGTGCGAGTTTGAAGATAACGATCTTTTTTCCAATTTGGAAACACTTTTGCTTCAATTGGGCGTCAAGGAAATAATCGTACCGTCAAACTACGATCCTCACGAGGAAACAGGCGATGCCGTTAAACTATTTCAAGTATTGGACCGTATCGGCAATATCGTGGTCACGTCGGTCAAATCGTCCTTGTTCAACAAAGAAGTCGAACACGATTTGGCTCGAATTGTCGAAGGTGAAAACATTGAGCTTGTCTTGGCATCAAAGGGTATTAATGCGATCGACTTTCCCTTGTCGCTCGCCTGCTGTAGCGCTCTCCTCCATTACCTCGAACTCTCGTCCGGGGAATTTTCAATCGACAAGTATAATTTATCTGACTACATGAAGTTGGATACTTCCACAACCAAGGCACTCAACATATTTCCAGCCTCCAACAATTACACCAAACCAAACGTTTCCTCAATTTTTGATTTGCTCAACAAATGTAAGAGTCTGGCAGGGTCTCGGTTGCTCTCGCAATGGCTAAAGCAGCCACTAACCAGTGTGTCTGACATCACCGACCGCCACGAGTTGGTGGAGCTCTTGGTAAATGACACTAGTCTTCGAGTTTTCCTCACCCAGGACTGGCTTCCTCGGGTACCTGATGTTAAACGCTTATTGAAAAAAATTGCCAATGGAGTCAAAAAGTCCAGTGGAAACGAGAACAAGAAGCTTGACGATGTGGTGAGGCTTTACCAGTTAGTGATCGTCGTTCCGGAATTGCTTTCAATGTTAAATGACAATCCCTTGATTCTCAAATACTGGACTGAACCCATCCAAAAGGCCCATAAATCGTTGATAAAGTTCCAGGAACTCGTAGAAACGACAATCGACTTGAGTCCTCTTGACTCTTCAGATCTTCTACACAATGATTTTAACATCAAACCCGAGTTTGACGAATCTCTCGTTAAAATCAACAACCAACTCGAAGCCACTTTATCAGACATTAAACAGTGTCAAGTTGACGCCAGTGACGACTTGAATTTGGAAGTCGACAAGAAACTCAAACTTGAAAAACATCAAAATCATGGTTGGTGTTTCCGTGTAACGAGAAACGACTCCAATGTGTTAAGAAACAATTCCAAATATCAGCAATTCCAAACGGTCAAGGCGGGAACCTACTTTTCAACCAAAGAATTGCGCACCCTCGCATTACAGTACCAAAAGTATTCCGATGAATACAACTCGAAACAAAGAGAGCTCATTAGAGAGATTCTCTCCATCAGCTTGACGTATCTGCTGGTATTCATGCCATTTGCATTGACTTTAGCACATATCGATGTTATCGTCAGTTTTGCCAATCTGTCGGTATTTGCACCGACTCCATACGTCCGCCCAATCATCCATGGCCTCAATGATAAAGAGTCTCGTACTTTAAAACTCAAAGATGCTCGTCATCCAGTCTTGGAAGTGCAAGACGATATCAATTTTATCGCTAATGATGTCGCCATGTCTCCAGGCAAGCAGTTTTCCATCATAACTGGTCCCAACATGGGAGGTAAATCCACCTACATTCGTCAAGTTGGAGTGATTGCGTTGATGAACCAAATTGGATGTTTTGTTCCTGCTCGAGAGGGTGCTGAGCTCCCAGTATTCGATGCTATATTGTCGCGTGTGGGTGCCGGAGACTCTCAACTCAAAGGATTATCTACATTTATGATTGAGATGCTAGAAACTTCTTCAATTCTCGCTACGGCTTCCGCCAACTCTTTGATAATAATCGATGAATTGGGAAGAGGTACCAGTACATACGACGGATTTGGACTTGCTTGGGCAATTCTGGAACATATCATCAAGGAAAAGGAATGTTTTACACTATTTGCAACACATTTCCACGAACTTACACAACTTGCAGACAAGTATCCTCTGGTTCAGAACCTTCATGTCGTGGCCCATGTTGAGCAAGCCGATGATATAACCTTGATGTACCGGGTAGAGCCTGGAGTGTCAGACAAATCCTTTGGTATACATGTTGCCGAGCTCGTTAAGTTTCCAGCCAAGATAGTGAATATGGCCAAAAGAAAGGCAGACGAACTCGGCGGTGATGGAAAGCGATCCAAATGTACCCCAGAAGAAATTCAACAGGGGATTGAAAAGTTGAAGGGAGTGTTAATCAAATGGAGGGAGCAATGTTACGACGGTAGTAAGTGTACTACTGATCCCGATACCGCCATTTCCAAGTTGAGAGAAATGGTTCAACCAATTAACGACGACAAATACGTCCATGAAATCATGAGTCAACTATAAATTCTAAATATCCTTTTTGTACTTGGCGTCCTTAGCGTTCAAAGAGAGAACCCGTTGATATGATTGCAATCCAACCACGTCGGTACACTTGACTGTAGGCAAACCCCAGACCAGCAGGAATTCATAAAACTTGTCCGTGCCATTCAAAAAGCATCTCAAATACTCTTCATACACAATGTAGCAGTAGACACCTGCTCCCGTAAAGATATGCCACCAACCGTGGCCCTCCAACAAGAAACCATAGGGCATACCCCAGTCTCTTCTTGTAGCCCTTGCGAAGCTACAGAAATGGATATCCAAGTTCCACAAAAAGTAGCCGAAAATAAAGAGCAAGATTCCTGTCCACATCACCCGATACAATTGACTTCTGGCCTTTGCATCGTGGACATACTCTTTGGTAAGACTGATGGACTTTAAAATGATGATCGCATTCATGACTCCATAAGCAGCCTGATGAATTGTGGGGTTTTTAAGAATCAAATAAATAGCCGTTAAGATACCAGCAGCGGAAGTTATACCAAAAGCAACCACCGACTGTCCCCGAAGATCCTTAAAGGTACTAAACACAGACCAAAAAGGAATACATGTGGCGTAAATCATGGGTAATTCATCGAGCAACTGATAATGATATTGCAATGTCATATGGAAAAGCCAGGATCCAACTCCCACAAGCAAGAAACCTAGCGACGCAAAGATAAATCGAGGTTCCAAGTGCTGTTTATAGGCTTGAATTGTGGCAAATAATGCCAATAGGATGAAAACTGAGTTTGTTAGAGTATTGAGTGCCTCGGCAATATAAGGCGAAACCACATAATTCTCTTCACACCAATCTATGGTTGAAGTGGGCGGACCCCAAAACCCATTGGATTGTTCGGGAGGATACGGGAATGCAAAAGGTAGCATTTATTTTTAGTAAATGTTAAAAGGAAAGCGTGGGAAGGAACTTATATACTGCGCATAGAATTCCTGGTTTCGGAGGTGTCGGGTCAGTGAGCCGGATTGCTGCACGGTTGCAAACCCCTCTTATCAGGAATTTTCAGGTATGGACCAACTCAACCAACATTCGTCATAGAGAGGTCTGGTGGTGTATGTATCCATCATGGTCATCATCTCATAGTCTTTTTTGCGATTTTTGGGTTCGGAATCCATTTTAATATGGTTATCGTTGCAATCGATTTCGCACCAATCTTCACATATTTTCGATTCGAAATGCCAGTAAATGTTTGCTAATGCAAGTTTCATTTCTAAAACCGCCAAGTTCATGCCGAGGCACATGCGTATGCCTTTTCCAAACGGCATCATCCACTTATGCTGCGCCTTAATACGGCAGTGAAATTCCTCGATCGACTCATTTGGTTGCTGGAGCCATCTTTCTGGAACCCATTTTTCAGGTTCGGGAAACACCGATTCTTGTCTGTGGATCAGATAAGGTTGTACAGAAATGGTAGTACCCTTGGGAACGATGACTTTGGTACCGTCTTCGAGGTTAATTGGGTAAGGTTCGGGGGTTACTCGGGGCTCAGCACCGGGAATCGAAGTATGAACTCTTGAATTTTCATTCATGAGAGCATCCAAGTAAACTAGTTTATCTACCTTGTCCAAATCGGTGATCCTGTCATTAATATCGTGAGGTTTCCCAAACGTATTGTAGAGTTCCTGGCGAAATTTGTGCTGGTTTTCACGATGAACCGGCCGCGACAATTCGTAAGTGAGATAAGTGAGTTGAATAGCCGTGGTTTCGTGGCCGGCAAAAATGTTGTCTGTTAAGAACGAATATGCCGATTCTTTGAATAAACCAGCAGCATTTAGGGTATTGAGTGAAGTCGTTACTTTAGGAACATTTTTCTCTGCTTTGGTATACGCCGAAAGTTGCCATTTTTCCACCGCCTGTTGCGCGGCCAAGATAGTGCCGGTGGCTGCGAAATTCCACAATTGCGGCATAAGTGTTGTCCAGAACCCCATACTGGCCACTCTTCGAAACATGGCAATGATATACCTATCCTTGGGTGTACTTAAAAGACTTGTACCGTTTTCAGGACCCAATTCAAATCCCGAAACCACATCCATGGCTAACGCTCCAAAGAGCGAGTACACTTCAATTCCTTTTTGTTTGGTCTTTTCGTACCAAGTGGAGGCTACACCCACTCCATGCTCATTGTGGAGACACTTGGCGTTGATAAGATCGGGGTTTTTCGCGGTAACGGAAGAATTGTAAATTTGGTCCATGAGAAGATTAACCTTATCGTTCAACAAATCTTTGGTAGAATTGCGGTCGGATAAAATTGCCGATTTCGTGTACAAGCCTTGCAAGATCTTTTTGTAGTTTTTGTGTCGATCGTTTTCCAACGATGCAAAAATATTATCTTTGAAACCGTGATTTCTGAAATTTTCATAAAATCGGTCTTTTGGAAAATTCTTGGTATAAATGTCCCGAAGATATACCAAGTCTCCATTGACACTAATTTCCCTCGGCGACAAAACAACCACATTTCCATACTTCTGATGAAGCTGGTGTACCGTCATGATCCATTGCTGACGACGTTGGCCATTGAGTGCAAAAAGCTTGGTTACCCGATAGTGGTACGGACCTGGAATGTTGCGAAGCGGCGATAAGAAAAAGGGATATATGATCAAATAGTAGATGATGGTCACACCACATAACAGCCAGATCACCAAGGAAGTATGGGTTTGGGCGGCATTTGCCAAAAACGAAAAAAAGTCAAGAAGCATAAAGAAGTGTTGCAACGATTGGTATTTATCTTGATCCGCGGAACCACCTTCCCGATTTGGCGCGGAACCCGCATTGCTGCAAAGGAATAAATTTACATTACCTCGAAGTCTAAATGGATATTTATCGCCGTTGTTTGAATATTATACCGTTTTATATCACCGTTTTTATCACCGTTTGCCTATATAGCATCAGCCTGCTTCTTCAAGTACTCCGCGTACTTGCTGGTCTCGTGAATTCCACATTCCGTTTTTGCCTTATCTTTCCACCGACCACTGCGCTCGTCTTCGCCTTCAGCAACCGGAGTCGTAGAGTGCCAGTCGCCAATCGACTTGTAACCCAAGTCTAAAAGCTCATTATAAGGAACCTGGTGTTTGTCTACATACAGTTTTACCTGGGCAAAATCCCAGTTGCAAAGTGGATTGATCTTGATGATTCCGCTGGTTTCTTCAATTTCCACCACGGGAAGGTCTCCCCTAGCACCACCTTGCAGTCTTCTTCTTCCTGTGAGCACCGCAGCAACATTAAGTTGTTTGTATGCTCTCTGCGAAGGCTCTACTTTGACCAAAAAATCATAATACAGATCATTGGATTCCCACAATTGATCACCGTATCGTTTTGTGAATTCCTGCTCAGTAGAAACGTTCATGGGCGTGAATTCATGAATAGTTGGATTGTACTTTTCTTTCACTTTTTTCACCAAATCATATGTCTGAGGAAAATGGTGCAAAGTATCTATGAATATAAGGTCGATCGGGTGCTTCATATCCGACTCTCCGTAAAGTTTCAGAATCATATCGACGGTTACCAAACCAGTAAGTCCGAAAGCAGTAGTTTGAAAAAGTCGAGGGAACGTCACATAAGCCCATCTTAATATCTCCTGAGGACTTAGGAGCACAAGGTGCTTGTTTATGTGGTCTAGCTGTTCCTGGGACAACACTATGCTTTCATGGGTCATGACTGAAAAGGAACTAAAGAGAAAAGGTGAAGATCTGAATGATTTCAAAGCGAGCGCCGCACGTGCGATTGCAACAGGAGGCCAGTCCAGTGGCAGAACCAAGGGTCCGCTGACATAAGCAGGAACCGCTTATTTGGGTTATTCTTAGTCAGCCGAGATACGAGTGATTCGTATGTTCGTAACATATATAATGGGGGCCCCTCGTAATTCAACCGAATATCATGCCCTCGGTTGATATAAACTTGCCCTCGGAAATCCACTTGCCACTCACGCCCACGGCGTCCAACAGTGGAATTGAGAAATACAAGCAGGAACTCCAGCGGATCGAGGTGCAAATCTGGAGCCGGTTAAACAGAAAGAGAGTAAGTAAGCAAGCAAAAGCGAAAATAAGTCAAGAGCAGTGAAGCTGAAGCTCTAAAAAAAGAAGGCTCATTGCGTTCATATGGCGCTGAAACTTGATGTTCCTGCCTTTTTTCTATTTTGCTCTCATTGTCAGAGTCTATAAATACGCAGTCTCGCAAATTATTCTCATGCTACTCTACTATACAGTCGCACACGACACTCTCACCGCCGTATTGGTGCTCGATAAAAAAGGCGTGCTATACTATGCAGGGGTAGGGCACAATTCAGACCAGCTTGTGGCGGATGCGGTCGCGGCATACAAAAACAAGCCCCAAACACTTTTGAAAATGGCTGAAATTACGCCAAAAATGCAATACACCATCAACACATATATGGCCATGGTGAGGGATCCGAGGTTGATAGACGACTTGAACAAGAAAATCCCCATGTATTTGGGCGGCACAGTTCTCCAAAAACGAGTGTGGACTTATTTGGTCAATCGCACCACTTGCCAGTCAACCACCACCTATGGCGAAATAGCGGCAAATCTCAATATTCCTCGTTCCAGCCGTGCTGTGGGCGCCTGTTGCGGGTCGAATAAAATAGCATTGGCAATTCCGTGTCATAGAGTGGTTTCGAAACTGGGTAAACTCACCGGCTACAGATGGGGAGTGGAGATTAAACGCACATTATTAGCATTGGAAAAACTAGTTGCTACTCACTAAAATACTTATAGTACCGGCTCACCTGGAGCAGTCGCTGGCAGTGCAATTGGTTGCGGAGATCCTCATCAGATGGAGCCCCAATTGCCGCTACCTCTTCTCGCTCGGGCTGTGCGACATTTTTGCAACTTTCGTTATCGCGAACTTGGCTCTCCAGTTCCAGGTCCAGGTTTTCCAGGTACGTCAATTGCGTGGCCATGCGGTCCAGAAGCGTCGCCAACCGCCGCTCCAGCTCGTAGTTTTCGTTGTGTTTGTTTTTGAGAATCAGTTTTGTGGAGGATTGGATCCGTTTGGCAAGAGAAACCCGGCGTTGCGGTTTAAATGGTTTTTTTCGTTTTTCCTGCCGGCGCCACGACTCGAGCCACGAGCTCCATTTTTGACGCAACAGGCGCTTTTTCGTCAAAACCTCGCTATTGTTCAGCTCAATGCGTACTAGCTGTGGTTCAAATTGAAGACTGGCACTCTCAAAATCAATAAGCTCATTGAGTGTTTGCAGCAAGTCAATACTGGGGTCATGAAGCGTGAACTTTTGGTATAAAGACTCGTCCATACGAGGTAGCTGGGTAGCGGTCCACGAATACCACATAAGCAATGATGTTACAAATGGAGAGAATAATGGGTGCAAATGCTAACCGCTTATGTAACCGATCAGATCTGGCTGCAGATCTGGTATCCATATCGGCGCATCATCCGTATCGGTGCATCGTGTGCATCGGCGCGTCTGCCGGATCAGTGTGTGTCACCCGCCTCGCACCGCTCGCATCGCTCGCCTGTTGCGACGCTGCCGTTTGCCGCTTCTTCCCGCAGCAAGTCACGCCTTGCTCGCTGCATCGCACCCGCACGCACGCCAAGCCGGAACATTCTCCGGCCGGTGCAGTATCAAGATTTAACCTACAGCGCTAAAACCTTAAACCCCTCACATCTGAATGTATTTCCGGTTGCATTACCGTTCCAAATTCCCCTCCGTTTTTCCTTCTCTTGTTTGCCCGCGCCTCTCCCTACATTCTCTCTCCGCATCTAGACTCCGGAATCGCGCGCCAAAGGGGCGTGGGTGTCCCCCTCAACTGCACTTGCGTGCATGTAGCTGTCAACCCATTTAAAATAATTCGGAAGCCCACTTACGTTTTGTAATCATGACTGAGGACCAATTTTGTAAGGAAACCGTACTTCCAGCTTCGGATCCACGTTCCCCGTACTATATCAACTTACCTCCTTACGATGCCAAACCGGTAGATGATTTGGTTGCATATTTCAAGATATGGAAACATTTCATCAAAGCACTCGTTTTTTACATGAAAGAAATCAGTTTGAGTAAAGAGTTTGATGCCAACCTTAACTACCAGCTCATCAACTCAGTTCAATTTCCTGGCTTCAAAGACTTGCCCAGTCGGTTTTTGAACGCTCTTGATCTGAATACCACGTCTCCACCTTCGTCCAAAACCCTTCGGAAAACCAACTCCAATACCAGCATTAACACCATGGCTACCAACGCCACCACCCAGTCGACCCCGGTCACGACTCCTCCCCACGAGAAAAGACCAAATTTGTTCAAAACAAAATCCAATAATTCGTTTTTGAAAAGTTCGTCTTCCAACCCATCCAATCAAACCTCCCACAAACGTAACGTTTCATTCACCAACCTCAAAACCGCCGCCACTCCTCAGCCTCCTCAGCGCCAGCACGTATCGCACCAGAACGACATCAAAGTGCCGCCCAATTTTTTTCCAGAGGATTCAATGTTCATCAACCTCTCACCGCTTTTGGTCAACCACCACTCCCACTTGTACCAGTCGCAGCTTAAACTTCATCGCGATCTCGTGAACAAACACATTCCACGGCTCGAATCGACCCTCAAAAACCTCCTGCTCAAAATCAAGGAGATCAAGTCGAGTTTGAAAAATGAATCTTTTGCAAATTCCGCCATTTTGAAGGAAGTGAGTCAAACAGGCAAGGCATTGAGCTCATACATCAGCTCGGTAGAGTTGTACTCGTCGGAACGTCCCGTGTTGAAGAAGAATATTCAAGAAAATGACGAGGATATTGGAGCCACTGATGATCCATTTTTGCTCAAATTGCAGGTGGACTACCAAATCAAAAAACAATTGATTCAGGAAAACTACATGTTTGCGTCGTATGTCAATCTCCAAAACATCTCAAAGGAACTTTTGGTCTACGTGGTGAAAGAATTGAATTTTGCACTTGATCGGTTTGCCAAGTTGGTTAGCAACGAATCGGTTTACGCTCTGTCGACGGATTCGTTGGTAAATCTCGTTCTTAGCATCCGCAAGAACATCACCAGTGATGCCACCAAAGATTGGGAATACTTTGTGTGCAACAACAAAAACTTTGTAAACATCTACGCTGATACTCCTGAGTCTCGCAAGCGAGAAATTCGTTCCTACGACTCGCTCGTGCTTCCTTATGCACACACGACTCACAACAAGTGCTTACGCTTTGGCATGATGTACAAGAAGCAAAAGATCATCAAGAGTTATGCGAGTTACTATTATGTCTTAACTTGTAATTACTTGCACGAATTCAAGTTGGAGAATGAGGGTAACACCAAAAAGAGAGAAAAGGATAAGATTGGAGGGTTCATTGGCCATGATGATATTCCTGTCAAATCGTACAATTTAAACGACTTGTCGATTCGTGAAAAAGATTATCGAACCTACAAGTTCACGTTGTCCAAGCCTTCGGATCCACTGAAAAAGTATACGCTTCGTTGCCGCAATGCGGAAGAGTACCATAGTTGGTTCAGTGATCTTCAAGAACTCCTCAAATTTGGATCGAACCATTTAGAACGATTCAAGAGTATTGAAAAGAAGACGACTGAATCAAAAACGGGCAGCGAGAAAAAATCGTTTGCAGGTGTGTTCACTCCGCTGGTCAAGACACCCAATGGTTTGGTTCCAACGGCACAGGAACAAAATCCATTTGAGTCCACTTTTATCAGTGACATAAAACCGGCAACCCCCATTGCATCTCCCAATATGTCTCCCAAATTGTCACCCAATCAGGTGATGGTCCACAATGCCCAGGGACTGCCGGTAGTGGCTACGTTTTCTGTGCCAGATGAAGAGGCTGGATCTCCACATCAGAGCCAGCACGAAATGTATCTTGAAGCCCAGCGCCGAGTATTGCAGCAGCAGCGCGAAGCTATCAATCTGAAGATGCAAAATGTAAATGAAAACCGGGAACCGAAAACGCAACAGAAACCGTTTGGGCTTCAGCTTCAGCCGGGATCACCCACGGAAACTGCAAGTTTGAATAGTGGTTCCAGAGCATCTTCGAGCGAGTCGCTCAACTCGATGGTCAACTATTCTAATATCAAGAATATTTTGCAAAGCAACAAAAACTTGATCAACAAAGACCACCTGAAACTGTCGTCAGAGCTGTCGCAACACAGCGAGGAAACCCGAAACGACCATCAACAAACCGATACAGGCACTCCCGGATCTACAGACTTACCTACAGTCTACGTGAGTTCCGACCATTAACCGAGGATTATAGAGATTGATATAGATCGAGTGATACAGATTGAGAGTGATATAGATTGGCAGAATGATACAGTATGATACAATATGATACAGAATGTTAGAATGATACAGATTCACAGATTGATAGATACAGATTAGATTAAGATTAGATTAAGATTTGGTTATATCGGATTTTGTAGATCTCCTCCTGCAGCTCCCAAATATTTTTCCGAAACAGCGGTTCCCAAATCGTTAGCCAAGAGTCACACATAAACAGAGCAACTTAATCTGAATTTGTTCTATTTTTATTCGCAAATTTCACTCATTTTGCACCCATTTCAAAAATCACTTTTCTCAAAATTAATTTTTGAAAACTCTTCCTCCACTCATTCCACACACTCACCCTTCGTAAACACCTCTCCATCCCTTTATCCAGCAATATAACCGCCGGCCCTGAAAAATAGGCCCCCAAAATTGTGATTATGTGCGCTTACATAAGCAGGCGCCAATGCCCAGGTGCACCAAAATTCCCAGTCATTGCTCTTTTATTCACGTTCAACAATGTCTGGATACTCATCATCCGTGAAGCGTAACGAGTCAGCGATTGCCTCAGACGCAGAGTCCGACGTGGAGGTTGTACCTGGAAGACCAATTAGGCGTAGTTCTTCGTTGTTCTCATTATCCAGCAATCAAGAGCCACTTCCCAAACCTGATGAAACCGAATATGTGAAATTTTTGGAAGATAAACGCCACTTTAGTATGATCAGAAACCTTCATATGGCCGACTTTATCACCTGTCTTAACGGGTTTTCAGGATTTTATTCGATCATTTCTTGTTTAAGATACACGTTGACGGGGAAAACATTATACGTTCAAAGAGCCCATTTTTTCATCTTGTTGGGACTTTTCTTTGACTTTTTCGACGGCAAGGTTGCTCGTCTTCGTAACAAGTCATCGTTGATGGGCCAGGAGTTGGATTCGTTGGCAGATTTGGTGTCTTTTGGTGTATCACCTGCTACCATTGCATTTGCAATTGGGTTCAGATCCACCTTTGATGTGCTTGTACTCACGTTCTGGGTGTTGTGTGGGTTGACCAGATTGGCTCGGTTCAACGTCAGCACCAACAACATTCCAAAGGATAAGACGGGAAAGGCCAAATTTTTCGAAGGATTCCCCATTCCTACCAATTTGGGATGGGTCGCTTTTATGGCTTATTTGGTGTGGAAAGACAAGATACTCGAAAAACTTCCTGGCGGAGTTCTCTTTGAAGGAACGTTTGCTGAAGTGCATGTTTTGGTAGCAGGGTTCTTCTTGCAAGGCTGTGCCCAGATTTCCAAATCGTTACATATCCCAAAACTTTAATCTATTTAAACGTTCGCCCGCCAATCATCTGTACATCTCTAAAATCAGTGCCCTCATACTGTCCCGTTTGCAAAGCATTGTACACCTCCAGTTCGAAATTTTTGGGATCAAGCACCCCTATATTATCTGGATGAGTTCCCAAACGATGGTCATGTTGAGCCAAGTCCTCCAACTGGCATTGGCTCCAAAATGTGTTGGAAAGTCGTGCCAATCGAGTAACGTACAGCCACCTATATTTCCACAATGGCCTCGATGACGGTTCAGCTGACCATCCTATGCCTATATTCGAGAGCTCATAATGGAAATTGGACAACATGTACAATAAAGTCTTATTTCCATGAATTTTTTGCAAAAGTAGTTTCGCCTTTTCGGCATCGGAATTCTGTTCTACAATTTGCCGGTGGTATTCGTCAACATCCCGAACATATTTTAAGGACTTTGTCAACAAAAGACCACTGTTTTCATATTTAGGCGCTTTGGGGACCACCAGGTACCACCTACGGCCAAGTATACGGAAACTCATTGGATTCTTCAGTCGCAAATGTGTGGGTGTTCGGCTTCCATATTTCAAGTTCGCAGTTTCGCACCGTGGGTGTGGAGGATGCAAATCGCAAGTTTCTGGCAATTTTTCTTCACTGGCAACACACCATGTTCGGTATCAGAGCGGTTCGAGCATCTTTAGGGTTGCGTGCGGTGCTCCTGAGGCAACCGGTGGCCCGCACCAACATAGTCAAGTACTATTCAGACAAAAAAGTGAATGAAAAAACCCAAAAGTCAATCTTGACTGACGACATGTTGGCGAAAGCTGGATTTGACGACCCTGAAAATGGCAAAAAAGACGGTTCGGATCCTCATGACGGTTCGGAAAGCGCAGAAAGGACTAGAGCTAAACGTAGAAGACGTGCACAGACATCCAAGGATCTTCAAAGAGAAAAATATGCCAACTATTTCTACGGATTTACGCTCTTTGGAGCTCTCGCTGGAGTTGGTTACATGTGTAGAGATTGGGATTCCGAAGAGGAACAAAAGGCATTGGATGGTACCGATATCGGCAATGGATACCTGCCTGGGTTGATTTATGGAAGATTCAATAAGCGGTTATCGTCATTTTTTTCATTCTTTTCTGAACCGGTATTTGAAAACTTGCTTCCACCACCTCCCCCTGAGGCCTACCGTCGTCCATTGACCCTTGTTCTCACGCTTGACGACTTGTTGATCCACTCGGAATGGGATACCAAGAACGGATGGAGAACCGCTAAGAGACCTGGTTTGGACTACTTTTTGGGATACTTATCTCAGTATTATGAGATTGTCATTTTCGGATCAAACTCCCAGATGTTTTCCGAAAAAGTCGTGGCAAAGTTAGACCGCTACCATGCCTACATCTCCTACGCATTATATCGTGAAGCCTGCCGCTACAAAGATGGAAAATTGATCAAGGACTTGTCGTTGTTGAACCGTGACTTGGGCAAAACTGTGCTTATAGACGTCAACGAGGAGTCATGGGCAATGCAGCCAGACAATGCCATTCCTATGAAACCATGGGACGGAAAGCCTGACGACAATTTAGTCAAGTTAATTCCACTCTTGGAGTACTTGGCGACCCAGCCAGTTAAGGATGTTAGACCTATCTTGAACTCGTTCAAAGACAAGAACAATATCATCGAGGAGTTCCTGGAACGTGAGGCCAAATTGAGACAACAGTGGATGAAGGATAACCAACATTTGTTTGCCAATGCTCATCGTCCAAATGCCGGTACTTACTTGGCCAAATTGATGGGAGTTCCTGCCTCTAGTATTAACAAGGAGCCCAAGATGCCCTTGGATATAATCAGAGAACATGGCCAAAAACAGTATGAACATTTCCAAAAATACTTACAAGAAAATGGAGAAAAGTTCATCCAAGAAGAAGAAAAATTGAAGGAAAAATTCGGAAAAACTTCGCTCAACAAAATGATTACCGAGGGTCCTCCAAGCCCGGAAGACATCGCCAAAATGCAAGCCGAGGTTGCCAAGGAGTAATGCTACATAAATACATAATTGCTGTACATACATGTTTCGACACAATCTGTCTTCGCTGTATCCAGGTGCAGGAACAATATCATTAGTTGAAAATCGTGCGAAGTTTCGTTGATTAGCATTCAGTCTTTGCAATAGTTTCACACAATTTTCGTCGAGATAAAAGCCCAAAAGGCCTATACCAGCTCAACCTGTTGTGTAGAATCGTTTGCGACTACTTTTAGCTTCTCAAGTCAAGTGCGTGCTGAGATCCAGACACCCGATTTTGGTTCTCCCAAAACTAACTTTTTCCGAGCTCCACAAAATACGGCATTAAACTGTTCGGGCTCACTATAGTGGGATTGCATCTAAACAGTAAGTATGATTTTTCCGGGTATCGTTGGTGTTGTCCATAGCCATATCACGTGACCATTACCGAGTCGCCACGCGCAACTTGCTTTTGTGGTCTGTTTGCGCGGATGTGATTGGTTGCGCGCTCGGGTCTGATGAAAAAGATAAAATGCTTTATCTGATTAATCAGGTGCAACCCGCATGCGCAAATAAATACTTCATCTCCGCCCGCACGAACATTTTTTTTTTTCGCAAACACTAACCAGTAGCGATGTCGAATACACTGGTCACCACGAGAGGACTGGTTATAGCTCCCAGAACGAAGCCCCATGGGGGTCCTTCTCCTATAGCGATTGCCGCGTCGCCGCAGTCGCTGGCCGGTTCTCCGCCATCTACACAAGTTTCACAAATTCAAACTTCCAAAGAGTGGGTGCTTCCTCCACGTCCCAAACCGGGCCGAAAGCCTAGCGTAGACACTCCGGCGTCGAAAAGAAAAGCTCAAAACCGAGCTGCTCAGCGTGCTTTTAGAGAAAGACGAGCAACCAGAGTTCAAGAATTAGAGGAAAAACTCGCCGAGGTGGAGAAGGAGAGAGACGTCAAGGAGATGGGGTTGGTCAACACGATAAACAAGCTCAAAGTCGAGAACCAGTTTCTCCTAAAAAGCTTGGAACAATTGCGGTCCGAGGTAGCAGGCATCAGGAATGCTCGTTCTCCAACCAACCCTTCTCCGTCCTCGTCGACTTACTCTGTGCAACAAATATCGCCGGCACCTTCTGCGGATTCGCCGCCAAATTTCAGCTATAAAAAGACTATTCAACCTGCTCCAATTTCGAGCAATCCAACCGCAATTAAACCCCGAGCTTCCAGCGATTTTGACTGCGGTGTCTGTATCAAGGATGAGTGTTTGTGTGAAGATGTGGGATTGAGAGCTAAGAGCTCGCTGTCGACGTTGAACGACTTGGTGGAAACTTTCCAGCCTGTTGCCGCTGTTCCATTGAAGCGGAAGTCAAGCTTGGAAATCGACTTTACGACGCAGTTTGGCACTTCAAAGCGTAAACCGTTACCAGACTTTAAAAAGTTGAAAAAATCAAAACGGGAGGTTGTGGTTCAGGATCCAGCTCCGAAGAAAATGTTTGATGAGGGTTCTCCAGTCGACAATTGTGGGTTTTGTACCGATGATACACCCTGTGTTTGCCGAGAAGCAGCGAAAGAAGCAGCAAAAATATCACGTTCTATGGAGGCTCACATCGAAGAGGACGAAGAAGATGAAGAGGAAGACGATGAAGTCACCAAAATGCTTCCTCCAATTCAAAACTCTTCCATTCGCAAAACTTCGCTTCCAGTAATGCACCCCGGACCCAGCGTGGAAATTCGAGACATAACCAACTTGAATACCGGCGCCGTGCCGCCAGTAACTGCTGAACCAAAGAAACTGAGTGGGTGTACAGGCAACCCTGGAACCTGCGAGCAGTGCCAGATGGACCCATTATCTACGTTATTCTGTTCTACTGTTGCAAATAAGGCCAATGAGTCGAACGAAAGGTCCAGCGATAGAAGCAGCAGCGACCGTTCACCATCCAGAACATCGCTTCCACGAACCGACTCAAGGTCTAATATCCCAATGGCATTAACATCGGCACCCACCACTCCAGGAACCCCAGGAACGCCAGGTGTGACGGGCGCAAATGGAATCTTCATTCCGTGCGCCGACGCATATAAGACGCTTTCACGTCATAAGCAATTCAACTCGGTGGACTTTAGTACTCTTGTGGGAAAACTCACAACACGAGGGATGCAAGTTGAAGTGCAGTCTGTCGCCAATGTGCTTCGGGAACTAGACAGGAGGGTATATAACTAGCGAAGTGAATGTAACGAGCAACGAGTAAGAGTGAGAGTAGATGAGTAAAGAAAAAAAGCTGAAATGTTAAGTTACAAAAAAGTAAATGGTCATGAACAAGTTGAGCATCAGAAAGTGTAGAATATTAAAGTCGTAACCTCTTTATTTCGCACCCAAACTTCCCCAGACATCTCATCGCATTTCTCGCATTTCGCATTTCGCACTGATCGCAATACATAACTTGACAAAGTCCAATGTTAAACCGGAGGCCCTTGGTCTCTTCTAGGATCTGCTATGGATCCTGGAAACCGCTAAAAGCTATCAGATACAAAGTAACAGATTCAAAGCATGAAAAAGCAGAAGATTTGTCCGATGCGTTGCGACACACTTCCAAGCTTCGAGTGACAAATAAAGAGTTTGCCACATTAGTAGCAGATCTAGATACCTCCAAAGGCACAAACAAAAACAGCGATGGGACAGCTAACAGTGCAAAACATAGAAGTCTTAAGCGTTCAAGTCGAGACACAGATGTGTCAATGAGCTTACGAAGTAAAACCAACCTGCGACTTCTTAAGGGGTTTCTGAACGGGAAAAGTACAGATAATGAAGCAGAAGATACTCATGGAAGACCGGTATCGATATCGGATGTGAAACTTCGCGCCAAACCAAAATCAATCAGAGGAATTACTGCTGGTAAATCACCGGTAGTTCAAAGCAAAACCCTAGACAATTCCACCATTCCTCGACTCCAACATAATCTTGACCGGGCGCTCTTTTCACCAGGGGTCCACTTTCTTCAGGATCCTCGCACGAGAGTGTACAATTTTACTCCTTATCTCAAAAATATCATCAAGTATACCGATTTCAATTTCGAAGCCATTGGCTCATTTGTCACCGTTTCCAAGGATGCCACGCTTTTACAAGCTGCCAACGAGCACGGCAAGCAATTCTATTCATCCACGTCTTCCATGACGTCTGCATTGATCCAATTCTACTTTCTACTCAACAACTACGATCCAGCAAGCGGCGCCAGATTTCCATTTCCAAAGTTTACCGGCGCCAGCGCTAGACTTCCAGCATCCCTAATCATCCAGCCGAAAGGGAAAAACCCCGAAAATGGTCAGACGGTTTACGCTGTAGAATCTGACAAGTCAGCTGATACAGAGATTCTTTTGTCGGCAATGGGACATTGTTTGGAGGCACTTCTCACCACAGAAGAAAAACAGTTTGAGCAGTATAAAGTATCGTCTTTAGAGACTCCAGCACCAACTCCAAACACTTATAATTACGCAACATATGGTGACTTTTTGATGCGTTCGCAGCTCGATTGCTACGACGAGCGACTTCCAGGAAACGGAACTTTCGATCTCAAGACTCGAGCAGTGTGTGCTATTCGGTACGACTCTGGAAATCCTCATCTTGAGAATAACCAGTACCAAATATGGAAATTGAAAGGACAATTTGAGTCGTTTGAGCGAGAGTACAACGATTTAATTCGAACAGGAGCCTTACTCAAGTACGGATTCCAGGCGCGGATTGGTCAAATGGACGGAATCTACGTGGCTTATCATAATATCAACTCGTTCTTTGGATTCCAGTATATCCCTCTTGACGAAATTGACAGGGTATTTTATTCGTACGAAAAGGGAACACCAAAGTCCATAAATGTCAAGAAACTTGAAGATTTACACGATGATCTTCCTTCGTTTGTGGCAGAAACTCAGTTTAAGATGTCGTTGGATGTTTGGACGAATATGTTGAAAACAATCATTGATGATTTGAAGGCAGAACATGGCGAAACTGCATTCAGATTAGTTCTCAAAACCATGCGGAGAGTAGGATTGCTGAGACACAGAATGCAAGTCATGGCGGTCCCACTTTCTACAGAGCAAGTTTCTACCCTACAACAATTTCCCAAGTCGTTCAAAACCAGTTTCCGAGAAGATATCGACCCACAAGAACGCCATGCAAATCTCCGCGATCACAGCAGCAAGCTCGATGCATTCAATGAAGAAACCGCAAAAGCTGGAGTTTTATCATATTACATTTATGTGGAGAATCTTTTCGGTCCTAACAAGATAAGCATAAAGGACCCACATGGGTACCCTCGAAATAAGTCTCAACCATGGCTGTTATCCTACACCATCAAGCGGGTCGACAAAGGTCCTGAGCGATACTTGGAACTACTTCGGGTTGCTACAAAATTATTAACAAACAACGAACCGCAACCAACTCCAGAACCCACAGATGAAGAGGCAGAAATCAATATTGTAGATCCAACCGATCTCATGAAGGCATACCTGGCCATTGGTGCTGCGCGAGCCACCAAGTGGGAACCAAAAGATGAGGCACGGGTGGTTTATAACCCAAAATAGGTTTATTAAGGGTATTCAGCCGTTCCTAAACGTGCATACCCCATTGCATGCGCATGCACAGTTGGCAGCGGAGCGGTTTAAAGGACATGCGCCACGACGGATTACCGGATGTCCGGGCCCGCCGCCGCGTGCGTCCGCCCGTCCAGTGCGTTTTCTGCACAGAGCGGCGCGGGGACTGCAACTCCGACACCGAAGAGTCATCGGACCACAGGAGGCCTTTTGTTTATAGAAAAGAATCCACGCCACCAAAAAGTTATTTATCTAAACGCGACCAGGGTCAGCTAGAATTATAGAGATCTTTAGACATACACTGTTTCTGAGCCACATCACCTAGAGTGGCAACGTGGGCACAAAATTACCTTTTAGCAGACCAAAAAAAAATCCACATCTACATCGGTAAAAATTCAAAATATGGATATTGAAATGAACCCTATGAATCCGCGAGCGACAAAAATGAGGACGTCGTCGTCACAGTCTTCGGCGTCGGCAGTGATGGATGCCAATACTGGCGCCACAACGTTTGATTCTACTCCAGCCACCTCCATCAACAAATACCATTTTTCACCCCAAGAGTTAGAGGAATGGATTACGAAAAAACACAAGACTGAACGTACCGTGGTGATGCTTGTAGGCTTGCCGGCGTCGGGGAAAAGCACCATAGCCCGCCAGCTTTCTCGGTTTCTTCAGAAAAGTGGGTACAAATGTGACATTTTCAACGCCGGAGATGTGCGACGCAAAATGCACCAGCAGTTGAGTACCAGTGAGTTTTTCGACCCGGATAACGTGACGGCGAAGCGTCAGCGAGATACGTTTGCCACCATGGCGATGACAGACTTGTTGAGCAATCTTCAAGACGAAGTGATCAACGTTGGGTTTCTCGATGCCACTAACACTTCAATCGAGAGAAGAAAAAGTATGATAGAAATGAGCAGACAAGCGGGTATTGTCGACCACTTTATCATCCTCGACGTGGCGTGCGACATCGAGGAGTATCTCTTGTTCAACATCAACGGCAAAGCGTTCAATGCTGATTATAGAAACATCAACCACGAAGTGGCCATAGCCGACTTTAAGAAACGAACTAAACACTACTACAAAGCTTACGAACCACTCACCAAGGAAGAAATCGACGGGTTTGAGCCAAAAGTTGCCGCTTGGGTGAATATTCGAAACTGTGGAAAAGCAACTGCCATTTATAACCCCAGCAATTGCAACGATGAAATCGTAATGCTCATTGCCCAATTTGCAGATAACTACCTTGAGGACGACGGAAAGCGGTACATGGAAGCGGTGCAAGCGTTCTACTCAAAAGTGTAACGATATAATGATTTGTAATGATACATGATTTTTCAGAATATTAGTGCCCTCTCAACCCTGGTATTGCGTAAGAATCTCTCATTTCCGGAGCATTGCCGTTAAAGTTGTTCAATCCCGGCAAGTTGATTCCTGGCTGTGCTGCCACCTCGGCCGTGGAAGCAGAAGTGTCTTCCAAAACAGCATTAATATTATTATTAACTCCATAGTACCATGCGCCAACCTTGTCGTTGGTGTACAACGCATCTTTGAACGACATGGGGTCGTTGGGTCTAGCTCGAGACCAGAAACGTGCAGACCTGTCTGCGCCTGCTGAGCAGAGCAAATGACCCAAAGGATGGTATTCAAGGGCATTAATGGCTCTTTCGTGAGCATATGGAACTTTGTGAACGGCTTCGATTGCCGACCCCGAACTGGCACTGGTTTCATTTTTGATGGTATTACTTTCACTGATGAACGTGTCGAGGAGGTAGTGGCTCATGGAGCCGTCATAGGCCGCGGTGGTTATCATAGAAGGGTGAATAGGGTGCCATTCGACACACGACAAGTCGGTATCTTGGTCGCGAATAACCAAGAAATCTTTCATTGTTCTCAAGTCGAAAATCCGGCAAGATCTGTCTCGTGCTACCGACGCCAAGAGCCGGCTGGTTCCTGCGGTTTGAAACCGGGTTTTGGTGATGGTGTGCTTGTGGCCGTGGAGGGTAGAAATGCTGTTGGCAGCTCGAGGATCCCAGAGTTTGACCAAGTTATCTTTGGATCCCGACACTATGAGCCCCATACTGGGGTGCCAGTCCGCACTCTTAACGTCCCAGTGGTGGCCGGCAAGCGTTCTTTCTTCTTTTCCATTATTAAAATTCCAAATTTTCATCGATGAGTCGTCGGAAGCCGTCAAAAATTTGGAATCGTTGGGCGAAAATGCAATGTCTCGGATTGCATCGCTGTGACCATTGATTATGTTGACGTTGTTGAAATTGGGCTGCCAATATTTTATGGCTCCGGTTTGATCTCCACTCAAAAGCCAGTCGTCGTTGTGAGAATACTTGAGGGCCAAAACCGCCAGATCGTGTGCTTGCATGATGGTTTCAAAGTTGAATGTCATTCCGTTCCAGATGGTGAATTCTCCGGAATGGGAAGCCACGAGAAGTCGTCTACCCTCGGGAGTCCATTTAACAGTGTTGATCGAATGTTTGGCTTTGTTGGATGAAAGATGCACAAATTTGGTTTGAACGTCCATAATCGCCGCATTGCCTCGGTTTGGATTCACAGACGACGACTTGTATGCAAGGGATGGAAGAAGATCTATCAAATACGACGATTCAGGCCGTATTTTACCAATTGGATTATCGGTGATTCCAAGACTTCGTTGAATATGCCATCTCCCCATGTTACTTCCATGGTCAACCGTTCGACGGTAAGACGTCTTCTTCTCCTGCGACGCTAGCTGCTGGTCGATATTTTGCTGGTACGTAGTCCGGTCCTGACGACCATAAGGACGGTTGCCATACATGGTGAAGATTCTCGCTGAAAATTGAATTTGGGTGGTATAGTGCAATATGCAGGATTACAATGATACAATGTAAGGATGCATTCTGCATCCTACTGTATATTTCACCGTAGATGAATACGGCCTTTCTACTTGTTTATTGAAGTTCAAATATCAGTTATACCAACATCCCTCAACATTTCCTTCATTCCATTTTCTTAGTAATTAAGCCCCTCCTACTCGCAGCCACCCGGCACGTGCACCCATACATTCTAGTTGAGCCATAGTTGTTTCTCTTCATTCAACATGGCCCGTTTTTTCTACCACGATAACAAAGACACTCCTGAGGACTTTACGGATGAACACGACTCGGGGCAACCAGTTTCTGAAGAGACTCTTCTGAAATTAGGCGTGTTTTATCGCAAAATCTCATCGATGGATGAACTCAATGCCATTGCCAAAGAGCGCGGATACAAGAATAGAGACCAAGTTATTCTCAATTTGGACTCGTTTGGAGGTGATGTGAATGCGTTCAACTCCAAAATGAAAACGTTCTACACCGAGCATTACCATGAAGACGAAGAAATTAGATATATCGTAGATGGAGAGGGATACTTTGATGTTCGCGGAAAGGATGAAAAATGGATCCGAGCCCAACTCAGTCCCAACGACTTGTTGGTGTTGCCCGCCGGTATATACCATCGTTTCACATTGAGCAGCAACTTGAGGGAGATAACGGCCATCCGGTTGTTCAAAGATGAGCCCAAATGGGAGGCCATCAACCGTGATTCTGGAAGAGTCAGTGACGCCAGAACCGAATATGTCCAGTCGATCAGCGTATGATTTAGCCTATTTACTCACAATCTTAATGTTGTTTTTCGTCATCCATGATTCCATGTCTTTTTTCATGCGTGCCAACTCCAGTTGGAATTTTTCTTGCTCTTGTTTCATGCCCTTCAAGTCGTTGTGGAGCATTTGAATCACCTCATCAACACTCTTTTCCACTAGAACTCCGCCTATCAACTTGAAGCATCGACGACCCTCACGTTTTGCAGGAGAAATGGAACTCAACGTGTTATCGACAATTACCTGTTCTTGTATTTTTGACGCCAATGCCGCCAAATGTGACTGGAATTCGCTGATATCTTCTTGGTACTTGTTGTACTGGACCTGTAAAGCCTGGGCCTTCTGGCCTTGGGCCTGCTGCTTTTGTGCTTCTTCAACCGACATTTTGGCTTTTTTGCACTGCGTCGATTCAATGTTCCCATTTTGAGAAAAGGTTGCAAACTATGCAGTATCGACTGCAAAATCTGGATGCTGTTCTGCTAGATGCCCCATATTTCAGCCAAATTCCCCCGGTTTCTTCTTCATGTTACTTTTTTATCTTGGTTTCGCCTTGTGGACTCTTTTTGCAATTGCATTGCCAATTGGTAATGACGGTGTTTCCATCGTTCACGTCAAAAACTATGACGAACTTTACACTAATTTTTCTGGCCTTCTTCTGTCTCCTGCGCTTAACACAGTGTTTCACATCAACAGTACCAACACATTTGTGGCGCCAGCCAACGACCTGAAACCTCTAGACCTCGATTATGTTGGTGCTCAAGGCTGGTTACGCAACCTTTTTTCTTCGCAGAGCCTCGAATGGGTCGAGTTTGCTTATAACGATACTGAGCGGGTGGAATATCCTGGGTTCATTCCCGCCAGTCCTTGTCAGTCCCATGAGTATGGAGACGGAGGAAGTGTTGGTTTTTCGTATTCTTATGGCCAAGAAAGAAAGGTAGGAAGTGGTTTGGGCATCAGTTGGGTTATCGAAGACTTGACGTTGTCGGCTGCTGCTGGGTCGACGTTGGGTAGTTCCACCACTATATCTGGAGTTATTAGCTGTTCAATTAGTAAGGGCAAGGTGGGCCAAGTACTTTTGAAACCAACGTATATCCGAGCCAGGGCCTCGAGTCGAAGAATTCGATATAATCGAGAAGTGAGAAAGTTTCTCTTTGACCAAGATTTCGAACAACAGGAAGAAATTCAACGCCTTTTGCTGCTGGGAGCATACAAAATAGCCTGTGCTACTAGTGATGTTGTGCCGCTTTTCTGTGATAAAAAACGGTTTGGAACCGACTGGGATAACCCGTTGGGCGCCAACTACCAGATCTGAAAAAAGCAGAGTTTAGCGTTTAGATTTTAGCGATTTTGATAGCAATTGACTTAGCAATTTGATTTAGTTGATAGCAACTGACTTAGCAGTTTGATAGCAGTACTCCTCAGTCTATACATTCTTCTTCACCTTGTCGGTACTTCCCACATACAAAAAGTTCACCACGAACAACAACCACGCAACGATCACCAACGATGCGCTCGTCATGTACATCCACGAATTGGTGATATCCCATGATCTTTTGAACTCATCGTTAGCCAAGTGTCTAACGGTAACAACTCTCTTATCAAGCAAATACGTATATCCATCACGCTGGTGGTCCAACTCAAACGTGAACATACCATGGTGATCAGGGACAGTGAAGTTGGTAAAGTAGACAAAACAGTCCTCAGGACCTTGGGGAGTCGACGCTGCTGGACCTAAGGGCTGCAAATTCAACCTTTGGTAGGGATCCAACATTTTGAATGAAAGCTGAAGTTGTTGGCTGGGATCTTCAATTTTGTATGGAACCCATTCACCATTTCTGTACTGGGAAACACCAATGGTATAGATAGCCTGGTCTTTGATCCTGTACAAGCTAGGATTGATGTTTTGTGGGGATTCATCTTTGTAATGTTGAACAAACTGCAATTTCAAAACGTTCTTTTCCTGAAACACCCATTGGATCAACTCATCGGAAACAAGCGAAGGAGCCCCAACCCACGCAAGACGAGCATTATTCAACGCCTGGAAACCAACACTCAAAAATCCCTGCTCCCCGAATGTCCAGGTTCTATCTTGGGTGATGGGCTCGTCTCCCAGGTCGACGGTGATGGAGTTTTTCGTGGCTTTGACGATTGGAAATAACAATCTGTTGTTGGAAATCGATGCTGCTGTGCCGTAATATGACTGGGACTCAAAAGACGAAACAACGCTATTGGGAACCAAGTTTTGGGACGTCAATTGCACCGCCTCGCCGTCGCTCTCAAAGTGGTCTACAAGGCGAAAGTTCTTGGGAGCGGGATAAATTCCCACCTCGTTGAGAATGGCACGTATATCGTCTGGAAGAGCCGACTCGACGTTATCCACCACAAGAATATTGCCATTGTGGTCGATAAAGTCCATCAACGTCTTTTGGTTGAATTTCGATTTGGCAGCAATTGCCTTCTTTGACGTAGGAAGAAGGACCAAATGGTCATATATGGGCTCGGAACTCGACAAGATTGCCAAATCCTCGTCGTTATAACCCTTATATACCAAATTTATGTCGAGGTTTTGCAATTTGTCAATGACGTTTTTCATCTCTTTGTCGAATTGACCGATATTTTCAATGTCATACGAACGTGAATCGTACACCACCAATGCCAGCATGCGCTCATCTACAGCAAGAGCCCGCACAAGGCTGCAAAGGAGTGGAAGAAGAATCCAAAACATAGCTAAAGTTGGTGTCGTGTTCAGTGAGGAAGTAGAGGCTCGCGTACTGCAGGGAAGCGGAGGAGGACGGGGGAAAGAGAGGGAAGGTAAAATTATGGAAATTTGTGATTGGAACAAGAGAAGCGAGATGGATGATGCTTGTGATCGTGCCGTTATATTTCCTTTTCCTCTACGTGAAAATAAGTATTTTTTTTCATTTTCATTTTGCATCTTCCTGAGGTTCCCCATAATTTTTCACTCCTGCAGGCTTCTCATCATGAAGGTAAAGGTGGAATTTCTAGGCGGTTTAGATGCCATCTCCAGCAACGTCAGAAACCACAAAGTGGACGTTCCGGGCAATGAAGGCGAAGTGACAATCATGGACTTGTTGGAAGCCATCGTTTCTACGGTTATTACCCACAAAGAAGATGTGCTGGTGTTCCTCGATAACGGCACAGTTCGACCAGGAATCTTGGTTCTTATCAACGATACCGACTGGGAGTTGGAAGGCAAGGAGGAATATGTGCTTGAAGCGGGAGACGTGGTGACGTTTACCAGTACACTTCATGGTGGTTGAACAACTTACAACGGCACCAAACGACAGCCCAAGAGTCCATTACCCAGCCAATTATCAGACGGAACAAGTTCCAAATGAACCTTTTTTCCATCACGAAGAACAAGGACCCGTACTTTTTGGTCCTGGCGCTGTTTCAAGCGTCCGGCAATTGCCTGTAATCTGTTATGATTTGCAGCATATATATCATCAAAGTAGACAATTTTATCTTGCAATTGTAGCCCAGCTTTTTCCGCTGGACTTTCGTCGGCAATCTCCGTCACCAACGCAAACGGCACCAACTGTTCTACATTCGGTGCTGCCGTAACTGGAGCTGGCTGTCGTTCTTGGTTCGAAAATTGTTGTTGCAACTTTTTTTCCAACAACTCCAACACCGATTTCAAGTCGTTTTTCAACATGACGATTCGAACACGAACCAACCGTATACTGACGACGTCAATGTCATTACGAGGAAACCCGTCCTCGGTCACCAATGGCGTAGACATGTCTGCGGCAAAGTTATTTGTCAACATGTCAAACAACAACGAAAGCTGGTTTTCGATGTCTGATTTCACAGTGGCAAGTTGACGATAATTCAAGGAACTGAAGTCACCGTTGTAGTTCTGGAACTTGTCTGGGTCAAGGTTGAGCGTCCTCATGACGCCGGAAAAGCTGTGGTCAAAGTTGTCTGTGGTCATAGGTAAGTGAGAAGTGAGAGAAGTGAAAATGAGATAAGAATTGTGAGAAGAAAGTGAGATGAAGAAAAGTGGAATGAGCTGAGAAAAAGAGGAGCAAATCGAAGATGTGAGGTGACAAAGAGAAGAGATGAAAATGACAAAAATTGAGAGAGAGTGCTAAAGAGATATTCAGATAGATAGTGAAGCGAGGTAACGCAATTGAGCTACGAATAACAAATACAATTCTTATCATAAGATATAGCTGAATAATCTAAAATTAAGAATGAAAGTAGACAAGCTACAATGAGACAAAGAACTTGATTGAATGAAAGGAACACAACAGTCAAGTCTGATTTTATCTGATTTTATTGCATAGTATTATAGTTCCTACCTTTAATGGTTCTTTATCGTCCTATATCGTTCCGTCCGTGCTCACAGGAAACGAAAACGTCGATACATTTTCAACATCGTCGTCGTCGTTTCCCTCGCTAATCTCCTTCCATGAAGCTGCCGTCAACAATACAAACCCAGCAATCACAAACATATCACCTAAAAGTTGCTGAAAGCTCAATTTGACGCCAAATAATACCCATTCGGTCAAACCTATGAGGAAAATAGTGGTCAAAGACGAAACGCTAGACAACACAGGGTTTGTCAATGCCATGAGCGACAAAAATGCTGCACTGAACAAGATGTTGGAGATGAGCGAACCAATGATATAAGACCAAATGAGTCCGGTTTTGTCGCCATAGTCAAACAAATTGAAGTGGTGGATGTGGAAAATGTGCACCAAAGCCATGGATGTGAACAAGATCAAAAATGTAAATGTGCCAAAAAGTGCCATAATAAAATTGGAAAATGTAAGTTGGCGCCGAGGCGTGATGATGGTAGCTAGGTGAGCAGGAATGCATGTGTACTTTTTGTAGAGCACCTCATAGTAACCGTATAATACGGCACCGGCCAGAATGATCAAATTGCCCCAAAACCGGTAAGGGTACGGATTGTCACCGTCGGCAGCGTCGCCGGAATAGGCCACGATAAACACTCCAGCAATAGCAATTATCACGGAGCTAACCTTGAGCCAGGAAAAGCGTTCCTTCAAGATGGGAATGGCAAAAGCGTAGGCGGTGAAAGCCAGGCAATTGTAAATGGCAGTAACATCTGAAGCATAAGTCATCAGCATGGCTCCATACCAAGTAAAACCGGCAATAGTCAACACCATAGTAATCATTGCCGACTTGGCAAGAATGTACTTGATCGACGGAGTGCCCAAAGCAGATTTAAAACAAGCTCTAAGCGAACTAGTATTGGAAATATGAGGATTCAGATCAATAAGTTGATTTATTTCTTCGGTTCTTGTATCGCCGTTGACATTAGCTTCGTAGATCAATATGGACGTGTGGTAGACGTTGTGCACCTGCTTAACAATCGATTTCTTAAAGTATTTGTACACGTTGACCGGCTTTGAAACCAGCAAATTTGGGTCGTGAATCTGTCCTGGAGAGTTGACTGGTTCGTACTCTCCCAATCTTCTTTGATACATCAAACGGTGTCCGGTTCTGAAAACTGCAATCAGAATCACCTGTATGGGCCAAAGGATCCACCACATACCATGGGTGACGAGTAAAAGTGCAATTGGTTCTTTGAACCCCACGGTATAAGCTCTTGATGTGAACTCGGTTTGACATACAAATGCTAGTAAGGAAAGTAGAAAGAGAAAGATTATGGAAATGATTTTTGTTTTGGACGCTCTCGGCGAGACGGATCCATCTCCATCGTTGAGTGTTGTTACTGCCATTTCATCTGTCAGTAAAGTTGTTGTCGGCGAATTTTGGGTGCTGACTGCAGGAGCGCGAACGCGGGGCGGCAGAATCGCAGATACAGTGTTTTTCGATTTCGCGTAATAGATAAGGGCACGTCTGTCTGCTTCGATTCCTTTTTCACTTGTTTAATTCTTTGTTTATGAGTGATTATCAAGACTAATAGAGAATATGGTACCACTGAGTAGCTTTACTTTTATTAATTTAAGGCTGTTAGGAGATATTGATGGGAAATTTCTTAAACAAGAGAACACTATTGTAGAAGAAATGCCTTCAAGTTTGAGTCCTGACCAAGCATTCAAGCCGATCTGCGTCTGATCAGGAATGTGGGAGTCAGAGTCAAACATATACTGAAACGAAGAGATTATTACGAAATATTATGAGAAAGTCCCGTATCTGTTTGGCTTCCTTGAGATACAACTCCTTTCCTTGATCAATACTCGATTATCATGAACGTAACCATACTAACTGCTCACTTTAAAATATTTCGTTTTACCTACATTTCCCATATGCCCCATAGTTATGACAGGACTCAATTGAGAAAGCTTTGTTAACGCCAAACAGCACAAGTCCTTCTAAAGTCCCACTATGGTTTTCACGAGTACACCACACACCACAAAAATGTTCATGGTTTTTGATCCACTCTTCCATAGCACCTAGAATTGCAGTAAGTTGTGCTGTGGTATCACAATTGACAACGGGATTCTCAATTTGGATATGCAAGTACCTAGTGCCATTTCTACCGGTCATTTGTGAGGATATCTGGCATGGATTGCTTTTTAGTTGCAAGTAATTTGCAATACTTGAACCTAATCGTTTAAAGTAACCAGCATGCAAAAGCTCGAAATGATTTTCTTTGGCTCGATTTCGATTCAAACACAGTTCCATATACGCATCAGAGATGTAAACCGTACTGTTGATCAATGGTGTTAGTTGTCCTGGAACGTATTCGGCATTATCTTTGACCTGAATAAAATCCTTATCAGGGGTATCATACAATCCAACCATGAAAATCTCCTCTCCCGAGCAGTTATATTGCAACGTTTGACCACCATCCAAAATTGAGACTAACTGACAAGTCTCATTAAGGTTCTGCCAGTATGATTGTAAGTCATCTGCAAGCACAAGCAGCGTGAACATTGCAAATATTATTGATTTCAAGATCAAGCTAGACATTATGATTTGCAACTATTTTACGTAAAATCTCGGATTATTTTTAGGGGCATATATGCTTACCTAACAGATCTACAATCTTATACGATTGCAGCAGGTGTTCCAGAGCAATTTATGATCGATACCGTGCCCAGACGCCTGGATTGAGATATAGACGAGAAAGATACTGTTTTACGTATATGCTAACCCCACAATAAATTATGTTAATAGTACTCCTAGCAGCTATCAATAGAATTGTTGGTAAAAGTACCGCAAGGACATTCCTATCATCTTGACTATAATGCAACCTTTGGCTTTATCACTTTCCAGATCTATGATGTTACACTAAGATATCAAAGATGGCATGTTAGGACGCAAAAGACAGGAGGTTTAATTGCTATAATTTCTGCAAAGTCTCGTCGACCGATGGCACTCTTCATGACTTGATTATAATACAGAAGAGAAACTCAAATTCCATATTCAAACATAGAAGAGGAAAATCAACTTCACATGAGCTGTTTTTGCTAATTTCTATCACCTCTACCAAAAATTTCCTATTCTCTCGAAAAAAAAGTTTGCAGCCGCCACGGAGTTAACGGCGGTGACTTATTAATCATAGCTCCGTCTGCTATAAATGAACGCTAAAGCCAGCTCCAACCTCAATTATGAAGGCTGCGGTACTCACAGGAAAGAACGGAAAATGGACCAAGGTCACGGATATTCCAACGCCCATAATTTCCAATGATCAACTATTAGTTAAAACAGTTGCATTTGCTGCAAATCCTACCGACTGGAAGCGTAATTTTCCAGTTAATGCTGGCAATGTCACCGGTGCTGATGCTAGTGGAACAGTGGTGGAAATTGGGTCCAACGTGACCGGTTTTGAAGTTGGGGATGTGGTTTCTATCCTGGTTCAAGCTGGAACAAATAATGGTGGTTTCGCTGATTACGTTGCGACTGTTCCTGGTTTTGCAATTAAGCACGACAAGAATGTTGTCAAGGACACTCCATTAAGTCCTGGGAATCATGGAAGCGGTCCTATTTCAACTTTCGAGCAAGCTGCTGCGATTACTCTCGGTTTGGCAACCATTGTGTATTCGTTTGTGGCTGAATTAGGTATCTCACAAAACACTCTGGATAACAAGGACAAGGCTATTCTCATTTGGGGTGGATCTACCGCTTCGGGCGTATTGGCAATCCAACTAGCCAAACTTAGTTTCGGGCTAAAGGTTTTCACAACTTCCTCAAAGAAGAACCATGCGTATTTGAAGCAGCTAGGCGCTGATGCTGTGTTTGACTACAGCGACGCGGATGTTGTTAGTCTTATTAAAAAGGAAGCTGGCGACTCTATTGCATTCGCTCTTGACACCGTGGGTAGCGAATCTTCACCCCAACAGGTTTATGATTCCACTGCGAATTCCAAACATGTGGAAATTGATAGTTTGTTGTCGAAAGGTAAAGATAGTATCACCGTTGACCCTTCGAGACTGGTAAATCATCACACGACGGTTGTGTATCGGGCTACCGGTGCAGAGGTTACACTTGCTGGGAAGACATTTGAAGCCAATGAGGTCGCTGCTAAGAAATACCTCGACTATTGGACCAATGAGCTTCCGAAAGTCCTTCCTCAACTTCGGGCGCACAACTTGAAGGTTCTCGAACCTGGACTTGAAAGTGTGAATGAGGCCTTGCTGTTGTTGCATGATGGTAAAGTTAGTGCACAGAAGATTGTCTTCAGGAATAGACTCCAATAGACGAATTGATCTAAACCGAAATCAGCGTATACGCGAAACTGAATAGCACCATTAGCGACATAGTTCTTCCCGGTACGAAAAGGCAATATATTCCCGTGAATCGAAATTAGAAGCAGGTTATGCGGCACACTGACAGCAGCTGCAGAATGTAGATGTACGCTGTCACGCACGCTGCGCAGCCATGCAGCCTAAAAAAACTGTCAATGCATAGATCCCATTCTTTCACTCACTGTCGCTTTCAAACGAATCTTCACTCTCGGTCTCTTTCTCCTCTATATTATAAACCCTCGGTTCTAGCTCTCCTCGCTGCATTAGTATGTGCCGTGGAAGGATCCGCGGAAGTATTATATCAACGACTCTCTCGTGCTGCAACAAGTCATCGGCCCATTGGTCAATGGTATAAACTTTATAATGTCGAGCACTTCCATTTTCAAATTCGGGCACTTTTAATTGCAATCGAACTTTCCTGTAATCTTTATAATATGGCTCGAGGCGCTTGTAAATTTCGGCTCCAGTTTTAGTTAAACGGTAATATATCATCACCAAGCAAGTCAAATACTTAAACCTATTGTATCCCAATTGGGTTTCATACATGGCTAGGATACGTTCCTCGGGTTCAACTTCCAAAAGCCGTAACAAACAGCATATAAAAGGACTCGGGCGACCGTTGGCATCGGTTCCTCCAATATAGGTGACATTATCCACAATGACAGGAAGTATGGTTTGTTCATTTGTAAGGTAGAGATGCTGCTTATAGAATAGAGAATCATGTATTCGGTGCCGCACGATGTGTTCTACCAACTTTGCACCGTTCAATACGTGCCTCTTGTCATTATAAGAGTCCGTCATGGACTGATCAACTTTGTGTTTGAAAAACCATAAATATTCACACCCAATGCACCCACGCGGCCCTCTCTAGTCGTCTTCGTCCTTGACGTCGATGTTAGCCAACGACTCGGAAAGGGATGCCAATTTCTTGGCGCTGAGTTCAAACCACTCTTTCTGGGCATTGACGAAAATCTGAACCAACGAAACGTTTTTCGAAGGTTTCAACAACTTTTTCATTTCCACCACCGCAGCCTCGGTAGCGCTGACGAGCTCGTCTTCCTTGGCAATGATCTCTTCGTTCTCCTCCTCTTCTTCGGTGGCCGTAGACGTCGATCTCAAGAGGTCAAACTCCAGTCTTGTAGAATAAACCTTTTTTCTCAACTCGTTCACCAGGATAAATTGCTCGTTCAAAATGGTGATCAATTGCTGGTTAAACTGGTCCATGATCTTGGAGTCCATGTCAAGACGAGCGGAGGCAATTTCCACATAGGTGGACGACAATTGGAGCAAAGCGAGCGATATAGCACTATTTTTACTCTTCAATTCTTCGCTGTGTTTCTCGGCAATTTGAGCCAATTGCCCATACAACGTCTTGGGAACCTTGGCAGAAATGGTTTGCACGTCCACGGTGGATTCTGAGTCGTCTGGGGTGCCTCCCATCAACACTTTCTCCAATTCCTGCGGTGTCGAGACGTTCTTAAGTTGATTGAATTTTTCACCAATGAGACTCCCCACCTTGGCGTCGCGGATCTTGTTGATGGCGTTGTTAGCGGGAGGGTAATCATAGGAAACTTTGGCAAAAGTATCGTTGGAGAAATGAATCAAGTCAGTATACAATTTGAGAACAAGATCACAATTGGCCTCCAATTGCAAATATTCCGCTGGAAGTTCGCTCACCTCTACACCTGCGTTCCCGGTGTGGATATTTGCCATATGTTGCACTTGCTGGAGCTGAGAAGAGATCATTTGCGTCGTTTTAGCAGCAAACGGTTGCAACGATTCCCGGAATTGGTCGAGGTTTTTGCCGGCATTCAGCTGGGAAAACGATTTGGAGAGGTTCTCGAAGTCGGGGAGAGACTCCTGGAGCGACTGAAGGTTGAAGGATGGAAATTTGAACGACATGGAGGATCTATAAGGAAGAAAAGTGTTATCGCGCGTGGAAAAGGTACGTGGTGCACTGGTGTGCGACGAGAGAATGAAGAGGAGGCAAGGAAAGGAAGGAAAGGCAATGAAGAGGCAAGGAAGCGACGAGTGATAAAGAGGAGGCAGACTTTGAATAATGGAGTGAATTGAACGCGTGAGTGTTTTCATTTTGAGAATTCACTTTTCGCTTCATTCCTTTTTTTTTCTTTATTATTCATTCTTCTTTTTCTTTTTCTTTTTCTTTCTTTTCTTCTTCTTTGTTAGTACTCTCAGACAATTTCTACTATCTGAACAACTATCTTCATGGGTATCAGTTGTCCCTATCGTTGTTCATCACAAAGTACTTACCTTTCTCAATGGTCGCATCGCACAGAAATTCTTTTATACCTAAGGTCGTGTGCCGGCACAGCCCGCCAAGTGCGCGCGGTGATTTCGCGAGGGCCCGGTAATCGGAGGTCGGCTTCTACCCTAATGTTCCATTTGGCATCCTCGCTCTACACCCAGTACACGAAGCGGGAGCAGTACAATGTGTTGATCTTGGGATTGGATAATGCGGGCAAAACCACATTTCTTGAGCATCTAAAGCTCCTTTATCCACCCCCAGGTGAACCCCCACGAAAATCTCGGAAATCAACCGAGGCTAATTCCGACCAATCTACCATTCAAGCTCTTAAAGCTAAGCGTATTCTTCCAACCGTGGGCCAAAATACAATCACCGTCAAATTCGAGGCATCCAAGGAGTCTCAATTATCAACACAATACAACAATATCAATTTGAAATTTTGGGACTTGGGAGGTCAACGATCACTTCGAAGTATGTGGTCACGTTACTTCACTTCGTGCCATGGCATCATCTTCATTATAGACTCTACAGACACTGAAAGATTTCAAGAATGTTACGATACCCTCATGGAAATTACCCATGATCTGTCATGGACAAACCAAGAGAATAATGCGGCAGAAATGGTCAATGTTCCCATATTAATGCTTGCCAACAAACAAGATCTTCCAGAAGCTGTTGATTTGGTGGCGTTGAAAACTGGGGTTTTTATTCGGTTGGTCAGCGAGTTGGAGGCTACCGATTCCAAATTGTTACCAGTTTCTGTTCTCGAGAACCAAGGTCTTGTGGAGAGCCTTGAGTGGCTCGTGACACGACTAGTATATAACAAGCCGAACAAGCAGCCGCAGTATAAATGAGGAATTTAAAGATGCGAGACAATGATAGGAAGTAAAAAGTCGCAGCTTTGCAGCCACCTCAATGCACCACCACGGGTCCAAAGTGACGTCATAGTTGAACAATAAACGTATGCGAGATCGGCTGTGCGATCAACGACGGGCGCCCATCCATACCGCTAATATGGATTGTCGGCAGCACCATCTGTCCAATAGTGCGCCTCTAGCACGCCTCTAATGCATTATTACAACAACGCGGTAATGCACCATTACTGTGGTGCATAACCGCGTTGGGGGCCTTTTGACGTGCCTGGCGCATATGCAGGCTACAGCTTGATGCGAGAGAAGCATCCATACACCCAAATTCCACCACATAATGGTTGCTGTGGTTGCTGTGGTTGCTGCAGTCATCAATTTCAGCTGCGGGGACAAGTATAAAACTCATCATTTGCCCAATTGTTTACATTCAATTGATTTCATTGCTACCTAATTCTTGCAATGTCAAATACTGAACCCGAAGAAAAACAGTCCTTTATGGACAAACTAAAACATCCCTTCAGAACTCATTCGAGATCTTCCTCGAGTGTCAAGTCGGGAGAATTAGACACCAGCCATCTGCTGTTTGATCACTCCAATCTCGCCAGTTTGAGTGCTCACGACAAGGGTGTTTTGGAGTCTGCTTACATTGAGGGACAACGCCACGCGGAGAAGAAGTACAACCGGAAAGTGAGCAGGTACGGATTTCCTGTGATTGGTGCCCTGGGATCAGGAAACCAGGGATCTGGTTCGAATTACGGCTCGACCTATGGTTCGAACCACGGACAATTGAGTTCGGACGACCGCAAGGTGATCGATGCCGCCTACATCGAAGGAAAGAACAGCTACCACGCCAATTCCAAAGGAGCCACACACGGAACGGCTGGTGCTGCTGCCGCTGCTGGAGCTGCTTTAGCGGGCGCTGGCGCTGCTGGGCACACTTCGTCCAAGGGAAGAGTTGTGTCTTCGTCATCAGCTGGAAAAGTCGTCACCGCACCTCCAGAAGTCAGGCGTGAGCCTGTGGACAGACTTGCGCCGGGCGACTTTGCCAACGAGAAGAATCCCACGGATCTGTCTGTTCTTGGAGGAGCTGGTGGAGCTGCTGCTGCGCAACAGCGTGGAGGAGAACTCTCTCAAAATACGAATCCAGTTTACACCAACGATACTGAAGTTCACGAAGGAACCGGAGTTTTTTACAACCCCAAGGATACTCAGGGAGGAGTTGTGGGCAATGCTGATACTACTAATGAAGCTACTGCTGCTCATCTCGACAAGAACCGCAATTTGAAGACCAAACCTTCTGTCTACGAGCAACAGGATAGAGAGCAGGAGATTAAGGACGCAGCTTATGAACATGGTAACAAGGAGGCCAGAAGAGATGCAGCCGAAGGAAACAAGGATTCCAGCAGAGACGCTCATGAAGACTCAAAGTCCTCTTCTTCCGGTTCCAAGCACAACCATGAAGATCCCTCCGAGGTTCACCAAACCAACAAGTCTGCTTATAACAATCTGGGAGTTTCTGGTGTGGTGGATTCGTTGCGTGGAAAGTCCCACAAGAACGACAAGAATGACCAGTACGATCCAAGACAAAGAAACGTTACTGGAACGAGTGCTCACACCACGGCTCCATTGGATAGCAGCAACCATACCGGTACTGGAGCCGGAGCCGGAGCCACAGGACCTAGCCACGATTCAAGAGGTATTGGTTCTAATACTGGTTCCAATACTGGTTCCGGTTCTCATTCTGGTGGACTCGGTGCTGGAGTTGGCGCTGGAGTTGGCGCTGGAGCTGCTGCCGCTGCCGCTAAAAATGCCAGCCACAAAAACGACGCTGGCGCTCCTCCTTCGAGCTCCGACTTCGACTACGAGCGTGAGTTCGACGCCTTGAATGCTAAAATTGCTCGTACGGAAAGAGAGATTGAAAGTCTTGAATCGCTGAAGAAGAACAAGCCCGAGTTCAACGAACAGGCTTCCACCACGGCAGTGTACCATGAGCCATATAGTCCTCCACACGAAAGAGAAACCTCGGGAAACTCTGCTGCTTCTTACTTGAAACCAGCAGCATTGGCTGGTGCTGTTGGAGGAGCACTTGGTTTTGGCAGTGCTAGCCATGGTAAAACCCAGCCAATAGATGATTCGTACAACCAAGGTGTCAAGGCTGGAGCGTACGATAGTGGATCTTCAAAGGCAATTCCATCTGATTTGAACCGTGGACTCAAAGGAGGAAGCAAGGACTACGACACTAGTGGAGCTGGTTCCGGTCATGGTACTGGTTATGGTGCTGGTTCCGGTACTGGTATTGATTCCGGTGTTCATGACGACGGTTCCTCAAAGCCTGGTATTTTGGATGGTGCCAAGGGTGCTCTTGGAGCTGCTGGAGCGGTTGCTGCTGGAGCTTTGGGCTACGGTGCTGCTGATGCTTCTTCGGTAAAGTCCGAAGCATACCAAGCTGGTCAAGATAAGTTCCACAGAGAGCAAGGAAGAGGCGGAACTGCTTTGGGTGCTGGTTCTCACCCTACGGCCCACGGTCATAATGCTACTGGTTCTTCCGGTCACAATGCCACTGGTGCTTCCAGTCATAATGCTACTGGTTCTGACCGTTCTGGCCACACTAACGCTCTGGCGGTGGCAGGCTCAACCAAGCCCGCAACTTCAGGAAGCCAGAGTGTCGGTGCTTTGGACAACAGCAAGTCTGTGAACACCGAAAATACTGACGATTCCGCTTACCACAGAGCCGGCAATGCTGGTGTATTTGGGGCCATTGCTGGTGCCGCTGGCGCTGCCGGTGCTGCCATTGGAATGGGAGGACATGAAAGAGCTGGAGAGACCAGAGAGGCTGGACACACCGGACACACTGGAAACACTGACAGTCTTGGTCATACTGAACCCGGACAAACTGGCTCTGGAAACACTGACCGTCTTGGTCACTCTGGCACCGGACACTCTGGAATCAATGATCGTGATATCAGGAACACTTCTGGTGTCTCTGGACCTGGATCTGCCACTGGATCTACGACCAGATCTACTGGATCTACTGGGTCCACTCTTGATCCTAAGGCTCATCATGACAAGATTGCTTCTCCTTCTCTCGATAGAGTTGAAGACGATGATGATACGAATACCAGTCAATCTTCTGGAATCATTGGTGGAATCACTGGTGCCTTAGGTGGTGCTGCTGCAGCCATTGGACTTGGTGGAAGAAGTGACAGCGATGTTTCGAGAACCGATGCTGACAGAGCTCATTCTGGCACAACTGGATCTACTGGCTCCACTGGAATTTCAGGAACTACCAAAACCGCTGGATCTACTGGATCTACTAAACCTACTGGAATTTCGGGAACTACCAATACTGGAACCACTGGACCTACTGGTATTTCGGGATCCACCAAACCTGGAAATACTGCAGGGACCTCTACCACAAGAAATGAAGGGGAGAAATCTGGTGTCACTGGTGCTCTTGCCAGTGCTGCTGGTGCCGTTGGTTCACTTGGTGCTGCTGGAGCGGCTGCCGCTGGATTGTCCGGTTCCAACAAAGCATCTAATGAACACAGTTCTTTGATTGAGCCAGCTACTGGCTACGAAGATGTTCGAAACGCACCAAAGCACGCTGGTGGAAAGTCCACGAAGGACGTGGACGAATCTTCGAATACTGGCGATGGTGTGCAAGGTGTTCCAGGATTGGTACCTTCTACTGGTGACGATGTTAGCTCGAAGAAGAAGGAGAAATCGGACACTAATGCAAGAAATGTCGAGGCAGAGGTCACCGCCCACAACCGGAAGCACGGAGTGACCGACGACAAGAGATCGTTGATTGAAATTGCCGAGGGCGTTGATCCAGAAATCAAGGAATTGGGAACCCACAAACAAGGCCCTACTGTAGGCGAAAGCGAGAGTAGCACCGGTGCTGAAGGTGGAGTTCAAGAGGTTCCTGCTCAAGCCTACGCCAACCAGAACGAGTTTATTCGTTCAGGCGGTAAGCGTGGAGAAATTGAAGGAGGCTCCGGAGCTTCGCATGCCACTTCGTCTACTGGTGCTGTAGGAAAGGACAAGTCTTTGAAGCACGACGTTTCCCCAGCACCTGAGGGCAAAAAAAAAAGCTCGTTGATTGAAAGTGACACTTCTGGCAAAAAAAAAAGTCCAATTGAATCCAACGGACGGGGTTTAGATTCGGCAGACCAATCCACGGCGGAATCCCACCACCGTGATTTGGGCTATGGTGCTGCTGCGGTTGGAACCGGTGCTGGTTTGGGTTCAGTCATCCATGCCAAAGACAACAGAGACCACAGAGATCTTGACACGAGACGTGAGGTTGGAAACCATGGTCATACTGGAACTTCCGAATATGGTCAACCTGGCCATTCTTCTGCTGGTTATGGTCAATCTCATTCTCCTTCTGGTCATACCTCTGGAACTTCTGCTGGTTATGGCTCTGGCCATTCCGCTGGTAGAGATATCTCAGACGAAGCTTACAACTCTGGAGTTCGTTCTGGAGCCTATGAAGCTGGTAATGTCAACTCTGCCAAGGACGTCTCCAGGACCGAAAATGCTGAAGACAACCACCATACTGGAGCTGTTGGAGCTGTTCTTGGTGCTCTTGGAGTTGGTGCTGGTGCTAAACATGCTCATGACCACCACAATCAAGGTCATCACCAGGACTACAATCAGGACTATAACCAAGGTTACAACCAGGGTCACCAAGGTCACCAAGGATCTCACTTGGCTTCTGGTTCTACCGGCTATTCAGGTTTGAGTGAGTCGGACAGATCGGCGTTCTATGAAGCTGGAGTTGTGCAAGGTGCAAGAGAAGCGGGACACATTCAAGCTGCTAGAGAACTTAGTGAGAAACCATCGCATCATGGTGCTACTGGAGCTGCTACTGGAGCTGCCGTTGGAGCTGCTGCGGGAACTGCTGGAGCCTCAGGTTTGGGTCATCGTTCTGCCGCTGGTTCTTCTGCTCCCGGCCTGACTGGAACCGAAACTTTTCAAGTTGAAGTTATCGGTGTGAAGGACAGAGAGCAGGCATCCAAGATTGCCCATCAAGCGTGCAAGGACCTTGACCAGAAAGGAGTTGATTTGACTTCTGGAAAATTAATTGTGAATGCCGAAACTAATGAGGTTTACAAGGTTGACGAGACATCTGGTCCTCAGGGCCGTAGGATCGACCAGGCAGGTACCGCAGGTGTTGGTGCTGCTGGTGCTGGTTTGGCTAGTTCCGGTGTTGGTTCTGGAACCGGTGCTGGAACTGGAACTGGTGTTGGTTCTGGAACTGGAAGAGGAACACATGGTACCAGTGTCAACCAGAATGATGGAAACAGAGACATCTCGTCAGGATCTGGTTCTGGTTTTGGTTCTGGTTCTGGTTCTGCTTTAGCTGGTGCCGGACTTGGTGCTGGTGCTGGTGCTGGTGCTGGAACTGCCTTTGCTCACCACTCCAAAGGTGTCTCTCAGCCAGACGCTTCCTTCAAAGACGATTTAGAAGAGCCTGATTTGCAGCTGCGTCACAGAGAGCACGAGAAAGCTAAGGCTAGATTGGCTCACGCTGCCGATGAAGGTGTGTTAGGAAATGTGGCTCCACCTACTGAGCAGCCTGTAAGTGGAAACCATGGAAGAGAAGCGGCAGTTGGAGGTGGAGCTACTGCTGCTGCTCTTGCTGCTGGAAACTATGCCAAGCATAACCATGAACCAAGACGTGCACAAGATGTTGGACATGGTTCTGGAAAGGAAGACCGGTTGCAACCATCTGATATTTTGGTTACGGTTCAAGGTACTTCCAACAACTCTGAAGCCACCAAGTTGGCTCATGAGACGGTGAATGAACTTCAGGATCAACCAGATGTATTGAAAAATGTCAAGGAAATCCAGATCGACTCACAAACTGGAGTCGTGACAGATGAGAGAGGAAATGTTATTGAGCATGTCCACGGACAAGGTCAGCATGGAACTAACACTGGTCGTCAAGGTGGTGTTGGCGCTGGAACTGCTGGAGCTGCTGGATCTTCTGCAGCTGCTGCTGGTTATGGATCTGGAGCAGGTGCTTCTGGATATGGTCAACGTACTGAACCAGGTGTTTCTGGCTCTGGTTACGGTCATGAATCTTCTGCGGGTTCTGGTTACGGTCATACTACTGGATCTTCGGCACCAGGTTCTGGCTACGGTCAAAGTACTTCTGGACAAGGTTCTGGACACGGTTACGCTGGTCAAGGTACTGAATCTGGTTACGGCCATAGCACTGCTACTGGTGCTGCTGTTGGTGCTGCTGCTGGTGCTGCTGGTGCTTATGGCTCTAATATTGGCCATGCAGATAGAAACACTTCGCTTCCATCAAGTACTGGAGCACATGGTACTTCAGGTCTTTCTGGTTCTCATGGTGCTACTGGTACTTCGGGTGCTTATGGCACCTCAGGTTCTCAAGGAACTTCTGGTTCTCATGGAACTTATGGTACTTCAGGTACTACTGGTCCTTCTGGTACTGGTCTTTCTGGTTCTCGTGGTGTTACTGGTACTTCGAGCTCTCATGGAAGTACTGGCACCCATGGTACATCAGGTGATTATGATACTACTGTCACCTATGGTAATACCGGTATTCATGGTACCTCTGGTGATTATGATACTACTGGCACCCATGGTGCTTCTGGTGTTGGTTCTGGTTATGGTGCTTCTGGTCTTTCAGGTGCTGGTGCTGGTGCTGGCACCTACGGCTCAGGTGCAGACCATTCTTCAGGCACCGGCTACTCAGACTCCAGAGGACTTGACTATGGTTCTGAGTCCAGAGGAGTCAACTCTCACTCTGGAAGTACTACCGGAGGCAATTTTGGTGCCTCTGGTGTTTCCGACACCTCTGGTGTTTCTGCCTCAGGTGCTGGATTATCCAAAGAAAATAACATCTCGGGGCTCCGCAACTCGGAACTCGGTTCGAGCGAATATGGTGAAGGAAGAGGCAGTGGCTATGCCACTTCTGGTGCCAACCGTGGAACTGCTGGTGGCTACAGCAGAACCGGTGATGAGCTCGAAACAACCGATGAAGCGGATACATCTCAAATTCCCGGTAGTTTTTTTTAGTTTGATTATGTTTAAAATTTACTGTGCAATTTGTAGACCGATATGATTGGAGAGACAAGAACATAATTTTGAGATAATAACCGGTGTTGAAATCTACACATCTACATAAGGAAAGAAACTTTGTACACCTACCATTATGGGGCCACCGTTTGTAGTTAAGCTTGACTCGTTGACCTTTGGTTTCTTTGGCGCGATTTGCAACCATTTCCATATCGGTCACGTGCTAGGGCTCTGCCCTGGTGCTTTGTGTAACTTCTCACAACTGAAAATTTTGTTGCGAACTTCACAGAAAACCCACTCAAGGATCTAACCACACAAGTAGCAATGGGTATGTATATCAAATTCAATCTCATGGCGTTTGCCACAACACTCCAGACATCCAAACTAACATCCAGGAAGAGTCATTCGTAACCAAAGAAAGGGTGCTGGGTCCATTTTCACCGCCGTCACCAGATTGAGACAAGGTGCTGCCAAGTTGAGAACCTTGGATTACGCTGAACGTCATGGATACACCCGTGGTATTGTGAAGCAGATTGTCCACGATTCTGGTAGAGGAGCTCCTCTTGCCAAGGTTGTTTTCAGAGACCCTTACAAGTACAAATTTAGAGAGGAAACTTTCATCGCCAATGAAGGTGTTTACACTGGACAATTTATCTACGCTGGTAAGAAAGCTTCTCTTAACATCGGTAACATCTTGCCTTTGGGTGCTTTGCCTGAAGGTACCATCGTTTCCAACGTTGAAGAGAAGGTTGGTGACAGAGGTGCATTGGGTAGAACCTCTGGTAACTATGTGATCATTATTGGACACAACCCAGATGAGGGAAAGACCAGAGTTAAGTTGCCATCTGGTGCCAAGAAGGTTCTTTCTTCCGACGCCAGAGGAGTCATTGGTGTTGTTGCTGGTGGAGGTAGAATCGACAAACCATTGTTGAAGGCTGGTAGAGCTTACCACAAGTACAAGGCTAAGAGACACTCATGGCCAAAGACTAGAGGTGTGGCTATGAACCCAGTTGATCACCCTCACGGTGGTGGTAACCATCAACATATTGGTAAGGCTTCTACTATTTCCAGAGGAGCTGTTCCAGGTCAAAAGGTTGGTTTGATTGCTGCCAGAAGAACTGGTTTGTTGCGTGGATCCCAAAAGACCCAGGACTAGGTGTATATTGTCATAATAAAGTAAAGACGACCGAGAGTAGAAAACCTAGGAGTACTGATCTCTAAGTAGGAATTTACTAATCTAATCTTAAGAAGGAATTTACTAATCTGTCACCTTAAGCAAAGTCAGGTTCACCTACACCTTCCCCTCATACTTTTCTCTAGTTATCCACTCATACTTGTCTCTGGGTCTCTTCTTGTCTCTCCTTAGTTTGTCTACATTCCATATTATATTCTGTGTATTACCTCCATAACTAAGCAGACTTCTCGGCACGAGCCTTGGCCAATGCTCTGGCAGTTCCGTGCAAAGCGTATCTGTGGTTACGACGGAACTTGGCGTCAACTCCCTTCAAGGATGGGTACTTGTTGGTTCTTGGCTTCTTGATACCGTTCTTGTGGGCCTTTTTGTTCTGGTTGTGGTTGGTGTGGTTCTTAGATTTAGCCATTTCTGATGTTAGTATGAAATTTTTGAGGTGAATGATGGATTGAAAGGTCAAAATTAAATTCAATTAGGCTCTGAAATATCTTCTGGTAGTCGGTAGTATGGTATATAGCCGGAATAACTCGATTCTACATGGCTTTCCCTCAAAAAATTGGCGTACTTACTGCTCTGTTGTGTAACTAGTAACGGACGCTCTCAGATTTCTATGAGACTGCGACACAAAAATTTTCATTACACAAAGCTGCACGTGCCGGGCTCAGCCCTAGAATTGGCTGCGAAATAGTTCATTGCAAGCCTATACTCAAGCCTATACACTCATACTCAATAACTCTCTTTATTCATTAATTACTGAACTGGCTTAACGTCCATGGTCTTAGCCTTCTTGGCGATCTTATCGTTGGCCTTGGAGCCCATGATACCTCCACCCCAGTGCTTTCTGTTTTCCTCGTATTTGTCAATAAAGTTGGCATTGACAGTAGAAATCAACTTGGCCAATTCAGCCTCGTCAGCAGAGTTGACTTCGGTCAAAGCAGCGACAGAAGAGGTCTTCTTGTGAACCAAAGTACCCAATCTAGCCTTACCCTTGACAATGGCGTATGGAACACCCATCTTTCTACACAAAGCTGGCAAGAAAACAACCAACTCGATAGGGTCGACGTCGTTGGCAATCAAAACCAACTTGGCCTTCTTGTTCTCAACCAAAGAAACAACATGGTTCAATCCGTACTTGACAACAACTGGCTTTGGAGAAGCGTCCTTAGCAGACTTACCCTCAGCGACGGCAGCAGCCTCCTTGGTCAATCTCTCCTTCTTCTCAGCAGCAGTCTCTGGTCTGTACTTGTTGAACAATTTCAAAGCTTGAGCAGCGGTATTCTTGTCCAAAGTGTTTTGGAACTGAGAAAGTGCTGGAGGAACCTTCAATCTCAAAGAAAGAATCTTCTTTTGTCTTTGCAATCTGATGTATTCAGGCCATTTCACAAATCTGGACACATTTCTCTTTGGTTGAACAGATTGACCGATTCCAAAGTTCTTTGGAGTAGACTCAATCAATGGGTTCTTGGCGGCGGCGGAAGAGCCGGCTGACTTTTTAGATAACGGAGCTGGTGCAACTTTCTTGGCGGGCTGTGTCATTGAGTTAGTACGAGTTCTGGTGCCAGAACCCTCCTATACTCTACAGTATCTCGAGATACTCAGCCTGTGCAAGAGTGCGGCCTGGATACTATCCAGCCTAACTACGGTACATAGAGCGAGGCCACACTCCTGACACAAGATCTAAATCAAAGATATGTAAGCAGGAGGTCCAGCGTCTCTAAAAAGTCAAACTTACCATGATGGTGGATTAGATGAAAAAACTAGATGAAAAAAAATGCGAAAATTTTTAGTGTTGTTGGTGCACCGATTGACGAACTGCAGATACGCCGAGAGATTTCCTTCCGTACTGCATACGTCTGTTCATCGACCGACATATCGACGATAAGATTCTCGTTCTCTTTATGTTTGGCCCCTTGATCAATATGGCCGAAGGCGCCTCGAGCGATAACTCTTGGCGCGTAGCTGTGTCGGGAATAATGGGCTCCAGCTCGTAAGTTCTTTTTTTGTTGTTTTTCCTTGCAATTTACTAATCTAGTTTGGCTTGTTGGATCGTTTTATTAATGCCCCAATTGATTGAGCAGTGGAGACTTCAATCCGCAGAGGGCATAGCCATCGGGTTCATTTCCATCTGGTTTTTGGGTGATGTTTTGAACCTCATTGGATCCATTTGGGCGGGTTTATTACCGGAGGTCATCTTTTTGGCTATCTGGTTTTGCATTGCTGACTCCTTAATGATCTTCTCTTACATTTACTACACCAGGATTTTCCCCAAGCACCACAGACGCAGATCCTCACACCGTAAACACTCCCATAACTCGTCCCATGAAGTACACGAATCGTCTCTGGGTCAAGAAAATGCTCCACTTTTGCGCAGAAGATCGTCTACACTCACAGATATCGCCATGGAACAGCCTTACAAAAATGTTTTCGTGAGTTATGTTCTTCCAATTTTGTTTGTCCTCGGTGCTGGCACCTTGGGTTATTTTCTCTCTGGATCTTCTAGCGGTCCTTCTGAAGACAATAAGCCAATGACATTGGGACCTCAGATCGTGGGATACCTTTCAGCATTTTTGTATTTGGGTGCCAGAATCCCGCAAATCATACAAAACCACAAGAGAAGGTCTGTGGAAGGGTTGAGTTTACTCTTCTTTCTTTTATCTACTCTTGGAAATATCACCTATGCGGGACAAATTTTGTTTTACAGAAGCGACTCGCAATATATTTTGCTTAATTTGAGTTGGTTATTGGGGTCAATTGGCACAATTCTGGAAGATATTTTTATCTTTTTGCAATTCTACATGTACAAGGACTCCAAGCACGAAGCTGTGGCCGGGGATGCTTAGGCAATATACGTTTACAATCCGAAAACGACTTAGTTGCATGTCGTATACATTACTTAATTTTTTCTGTTTGGTCGATAACCTTATTGTCCATATCTGTAAACCATCGAAATACAGTTTGCAACCACATAGGCAACACTCGTATCGCTGGAAGTACTGTAGCATAAAGAGGAGCACATAGAACTCCACTTTGGTTTTTTTGAATTCGTTCAACTATTTTGAAAGCTAGCTTATCGCTGCGAACTATCGGTGCCAATAATTGTTTGGTTGGAACAACATCTTGAAACATAGACGTATTTAATTGCCCTGGTATTACCAATAAAAGCAGTATCAGGCGATACTCAGACAATTCTTGCCGTAATGATTCATAAATTTGCGTCAATGCCGCTTTGGAACCACAGTATGCGGAGAGGTTTTTTGGTCCCAATTCGCCGAGAACCGAAGAAATCGACGTTATGAAGAGTCTCTTATGCTTATCAGGTACTGAGCTCTCCGCTAGATGATTCAGCACCAAAGTTTTTATGGTCCATATATGTGAAAAAGTATTGATGTTGAAAATCCGTCGAATTGAATCGTCTGAAAGATTCATTAGCGACTCCGAATGTCGGATTCCAGCATTATTAACGCATATAGTGACTTGTAGCTTTCTTTCAGCCAAATCACGCACCAATTCCGTCAATTTCGACTTCAATTCGTCTTCATTACCAACATCACAATACACATATTCAACACCTGCTAGCCTTGTAGAAGGCTCATTGATATCTAAAGCATACACATGTTTCACACCGCGCCTGAGAAGTTCCTGAACAATATTGTGGCCCAAACCACGGGACGCCCCGGTCACAAGTGCAACATCATTTTCAGTGAAATTTTTAGTCCTGTTGAAGAATTTTGGCAAGTTGATGAAAAAGAGTATTGACACAACAACAAAGAAACTGGGTTAGTACTTGTCACTTTTAAATTACCTAGCTGCATATCCACTTACCATAGTGGTACAGACCACGACATCAACCAAACTTCAACAAAATCTGAAAGATTGCGAAAATTCAAAATATCACAATTGTGATCCAATGCATTCTATGTATACAGTACATTTATGGATTGAAGTTTGCCAACTTCTTATTATCACCTGCTGCTTCCAACATCCAATCGTCCACGCCCGGCCAATTGACCTGGATTTTGCGGGCGTTGGAAAGATCCGTATTCTTGAACAAGTTTTTGCGTTCTTGTTTCCATTCATCTTGAACATCCATGAACGCAACGTCCCATACCTTGTCATACACCTTTCTTATCTTTGCTTCTTCCTTTTGTCTGACCTCCTCTAGCGCCATCCACTCCATATGTTTCAAGTCGTCTGACGACGGCTCGTAGATATGCCAAATTACATAGTGCGGTAATCCCACCACAGAGTAACCCATTCGCTTGGACAATTTCCCAAACGCTTCTGTCTCTGCGTGTTTCTCGAAGGAAAACGCTGGAAAATGAGCACCAGAGCGAAAAACACTGGCTCTGGTCAAAATAGAAACACCTCCAATTCCATCCAACTCCATTTCAACTTCAGGGTCTCCATAAGGATCCCGCAAGTATGCAAGATGGGGCCGCCAAGTTTGGTACTCAACGTACCCTTCCACTATACAAGCGTCCTCATCGAGTTGTTCCGCCAATTGCAATCCTCCGTCGGACTCCTGCCACGAATTCAAGTCATATGGCTGCTGGTTACCCAACCAGTCGGGAAGCGGCCGCCAGACATTGGGAACAATAATATCTTTATCATGATGCATCAAGTCTTCGAGAATGGTCGTCGGCACGGTTTCTACATCGGCATCACGCCAGTATACGAAGGAATGGTGTGGTTTTATGGCAACTGTCCACAACCAGTTTCTGGCTCGAGCCATCAATTTACGACGAGGGCCCTGGGCAGCAAACCCATGTCTGTCAGAGAAGCCCTGACCGATAGCCTGGCCAAAATCCTTCTCGAATATTTCAATCTCGCCAAACCGCGATGCTACATTGGGACTGCTTTGCACTTCATTCAAATGCTTTAGTAACGCTCCCATGGTATCATCCGACGAATCACTGACCAAAAAGGCCAAATCAATGAGGTTGTGAGGGTATGTGAGGTTTTTCATGTGACTGAAGAACATGGGCAAGTGGGCAGCGGCGTCTCGGAGCGGTACACAGAAAAGCACGCGCTCGTCTCGTTGCCAGCCGTCCTTACTGCCTTTTGAATGGTTGAGATCATAAAATGTCATGCTGGAATCTTCCGAAAAATCAGGAACATAGAGCTTGTTGCCTCCTATATTTGGAGCTAGCACTCCTAATATCACTAGTACGGTCACTAGTAGAGAAAGTCCGATTTTCGTTGGCAATGACGTTCGCTTGAAAATACCGTTTTGCCTTTGTTAGTAGTGAAAAGAGAAAACCAGAAAAAAAGCACACCAAAGAACCAGAGTATAGTAAGCCACGACCAAGTTTTCTTGAAACTTTACCGGTTTTTTCTATCAAAACTTGAACGACGTATTTCACGACACTTACTGAGAGGACAGCGAAACAGGAAGCGTTTCTGTTTTCATGGCCACAAAACTTTATATGTGTAGCTGGAGCCCGTGGTGCTCGTTATATGCGAGAAAAAAGACACCAAATGACGCGTAAGGATCAAAAGCTATTATAGGGTCTTCAACGTAATTCCCAATCCGATTCAAAACTTTGACGTTTCGCACCACGTTTGGTACTGCAGACAAGGCAAACAGGAAGGACGATAAGAAAACGCCAAAAATCAGTTCTATGCTTAGAAAAACGACTAGAAATATACTGCCATTGTACACAGCCCCAATTTTCTCTTTCAGCTTTTTTTCTCCTCTCCTTCGCCAATTACATTCCCCACCCTCGTGTCCTGCATAAACAACACCCTTTACTTTCGCAGCCTCGCGTAAACAAACACCACTGCAATGAAGGTGGAGGAGTTGATTATAGATGGCTTTAAATCGTATGCAACTCGTACGGTGATCTCAGATTGGGATCCACAGTTCAATGCAATCACTGGATTGAACGGATCCGGAAAATCAAATATCTTGGACGCAATATGTTTTGTGCTTGGTATCGCCTCGATGACCACGGTTCGAGCTTCGAATTTACAGGACTTGATTTACAAAAGAGGACAGGCTGGAGTAACCAAGGCGAGTGTGACCATTGTTTTCGACAACAGCGATACCTCCAAGTCTCCTATAGGGTTCGAAACTTGCTCCAAAATCAGTGTCACAAGACAGATCATTCTCGGTGGAAGCTCCAAATATTTGGTTAATGGTCACAAAGCTCAACAACAGACCGTACTCAATTTATTCCAGTCGGTGCAACTCAACATCAACAACCCCAACTTCCTTATTATGCAAGGTAAAATAACCAAAGTTTTGAACATGAAACCGTCAGAAATTTTGTCACTCATCGAAGAGGCGGCTGGAACGCGTACTTTCGAAGAACGTAAAGACAAGGCCAAGAAAACTATGGCGAAAAAAGATACAAAACTTGCTGAGATACGCTCGTTGCTTCAAGAAGAAATCGAACCCAAACTCGAAAAGCTCAGAAACGACAAGCGTACGTTTGTCGAGTACCAACAAGTTCAGACCGACCTCGAGAAACTCACCCGCATCATAACTGCCCATGACTATACCACATACAACGAAAAATACAACGACCACAAGAACGGCTTGTCGTCCCAGCGTGAACAACGTGATACCTACCAGCGAGAAATGAGCAAAAGGAGCGACGAAATTACCCATTTGAATACAGAACTAGACCATCTCAGGTCGCAGCATGAAGAGGAAATGAAGAAAGACAACACAATAAAGTCCCTAGAAGCCAGTGAAAACGAAATCACGGAAAAGATCACTCGTCTCAATACCACGAAAGAAATAACTATAGACAACTTGAAGGAAGAAAAGAAGAAAAAACAAAAACTCCAAGCTCAATACACCAAGGTCGAGCAGCATGTTCTCAATAGTGATGATATCTACAAGAACGCAGAAGCTGCTTTTAATGATGCTAAACAAAAACTCAACGAAATTAAACAAGAGCATTCCAAGAAAGAAGAACTTTTATCAACATTGTCGACGGGAGTCTCAGCTTCAGGCGCTACTGATGGTGGATATGTTGCTCTGTTAAAGGAGAGAAAGAAGATGCTTAATGATTCCAGCATACTTATAAAGCAGTCTCAGCTCAAGATTTCCCACCTCCGAGAGCAAATCAGTAATGACGAGTCAAAATTGCATGCAGCAAAGCAAGAAACAGCCTCTTTGAAAGATAATATCAAGGTGTACGAGAAGGAAGTCACGCTCAAGGAACAGGAGTTGAATAGCTTGGGATATGATACGAGGCGTATCGGGGAGCTCAGAAAGCAAGAGAATGACTTACTGAACGAGTTACACTCCTTGGACAACCAGTTGAACGCAATAAGAAGAGAAGTGGGAAACATCGACTTTGCATATTCTGATCCCACTCCCAATTTCAATCGAAACTTGGTGCGAGGTGTTGCGGCACAGTTATTCACGTTGAAAGACTCGGAAACTGAAAAGGCCATGGCACTTCAGGTTTGTGCTGGAGGCCGTCTCTTCAACGTTGTTGTCGATACTTCTGATGTGGCGTCACAAATTTTGGAAAAGGGTCAGCTCAGAAAAAGGGTGACGATTATACCGCTCGATAAGATATCATCGAAGTCAATTGGTGCCAACACCGTCAACACTGCCAAGTCGTTATGCCCCGGAAAGGTCGACCTCGCGATCAACTTGATTGACTTTGAAAATGAGCTCACACAGGCAATGGAATATATATTTGGGTCAACTTTCATATGCGATGATCCTGATACAGCTAAAAAAGTGACATTTTCCAATCAGATAAGAGCTAGATCGATAACTTTGGAGGGAGATATTTATGATCCCGAAGGTAATTTGTCGGGAGGTTCAAGAAGAAACACCTCTTCCATTCTTTTAAACATGCAAAAGTACAACAAGGCGCTCAATCGTATGAACGAGGTTGCGCAAGAACTTGCTTTTGTACAAGAGGAGTTGGAAAAGTTCAATATTATAGGGAAGCAGACAACTTCTTTGCAAAGCGAGATCAATTTGAAAAAGCATGAACTTGGTATTTTACAGAAAAAATTGGATAATAATCCAAGTGCAACCATTCTCCGTAACTACGAAGTCAACCAGAAGGAGATAGTCAACCTCGAAGCATCAATTGAGGAAGAGGAGCAAAGATCAGCACAGTATGAAAGCGATATATTGTCCATTGAGCAAGATATGAAAGAGTTCAATAGTGACAAGGGCCTGAAATTGAAGCGCATAGAGAAGGAGGTCAACGAATTACGAGAGTTGCTTGTAACTAAGGAGGATGAGATCGAGGCAAAGTCTCAGAAATTTCAGTCAATCGAGCTTGAAACAGAACAGTACCAAGCAGAACTCAATACTTTAAAGGAAGACTTGGAAACCTGTGAGGCGGCCATAAGAGAGAACGAAAACGAACTGGCTCTGATAGACAACAAGATTTCTGATTTGTCTACTGAATTAGAAAGTATCAGAGTTCAGCTAGATGAAGAGAGAGCCAATTTGCTCGGACTCAAAGAAGAATTAAATGCAGTTACGAAAGCTATACAAGAAAAGAAAGATGAAATCAACGAGCTTCAGTTGAACATCCAGAAGTTGGACAATGAACTTGAAAAGTCTACATCTATATCAAACAACTTGCAGAGCCATATTGACAAGTTGATCGAACTGCATTCTTGGGTGACTGATTCTAACGTTCTCAGAAGCATAATTGATCTGTACCCCAACATTGATTTAAATGAATGTCGTCTGCAAGTTGCAGTGCTTGAAGAACGGTTTCAAGGAATGAGGCGTAAGGTTAACCCCAATATTATGAGTATGATTGACAATGTCGAAAAGAAGGAAGTATCGCTTAGACAAATGATTCGAACCATTGAAAAAGATAAGGCGAAAATAGTCAACACTATTGAAAAGTTGAACGGATACAAACGGGATACGTTGAATGCAACATACCAGAAGGTATCGGTTGACTTTGGACAAATCTTTGGCGATTTGCTTACCGGTTCATTTGCCAAGTTGGTGCCTGTAGACAACGATGATGTCACCAAGGGATTGGAAGTGAAGGTGAAATTAGGACCCGTTTGGAAGGAAAGTTTGGTAGAGTTGTCAGGAGGACAGAGGTCATTGATTGCCTTATCACTTATTATGGCGCTCTTGCAATTTAAGCCAGCTCCAATGTACATTTTGGACGAGGTGGACGCTGCACTCGATTTGTCACACACCCAAAACATCGGACATTTGATCAAAACGAGATTTAAAGGGTCCCAGTTCATTATTGTGTCTCTTAAAGAGGGAATGTTCACCAACGCCAATAGAGTGTTCAGGACGAGATTCCAGGACGGAACATCGGTAGTTTCTGTTATGTAAGTATGTATGGAAAGTTGCAGCCATTGAGCCCGTTGCGCTGTATACAGGAATTTTCAATCCGATGATCAGTGCAAGTACGAACATCAACTATATGATTCGGCAACGAATATGGCGTCTTCAAGGCACCAGGCAACTTGCCACGAGTACTAGGACCACCAAGCGAGATACCGAACAGCGATATAAACGCGAGAAGGTCTCAAACCAAACAAAACTTTCAAATGAACCCGCAGATACAACTAGAGAGATTTTAGATCAAACCAAAAGTACATATTATGATCCAGAAAACACCACTTTAAACTTAAACTTACGCAATAAAGAGCTACTTCGGCAGATCAGACAAGCCACAGAAGACAGAATGAAAAAACGATACGAAATACCGTCTCTGAATTGGAGTGAATCATTGAAGAAACAGTTCAGCAAAAACTATTCCAAAAAGTTCACCGATCAGCTACAAAGGTGTTTGGATAACGCTGCAATATCTCCAGACTCAATAACAAAGCCGCTAGGTGTTGGAGACTTGGTTACACTAAGTGACGATACTATGGAATTATACATAGTAGTTGCCCAGCCCGAGACAATTGGCTCGAATGCCTATACATTTATCAACAACGAAGGTGAAATAGTGTACGGGTCCAAGTTCATGATTCAAATGCGGTTTCCTGGAGTAATAGACAAGGAACTTGTGGAGACGCTCAAAACGTTCGTTCAGCTCGAACGCAAGTACGAAAATGTTGCGCCCATAGGAGTGTCTGATGCTTCGTTTTCTCGATCCGAAGAGTCTGCTCCACCGCTGATGAGGCAGGCTGGGGAAAAGAATACAAAAGAAGATGTAAGCGAGCCAGAAGACTCCGACCTCAACACTGAATTTATCGTTGCTCTGGCGTCGTCACAATTGCTCACTAATTCAAATGTGAACACCTTTTTCGTGCCCACTTCAGCTCGTGAACTGTACTCGAAATCCCTTACCAGCATATCTTTATCAGCATTTAACCAAGTGCCCCAGATTTCTCGGAGACTTGAGGTTTTGCATCGAGCTCTTCAGTATACGGAAGACGGTGATATCTTGGATTCTCCCAAGACTGTCTACATTTTTGACATGTTGAGGTACTTGCAACTATTTGATGAGATTGACGTACCACAAGAACCTATGGATACTTTCTGCCGTAGACTCAAGGCCTCAATTGACGAGAAACTTCACCAATTTGAAGAAGACACTTCTCATTTGGGAAAATTAGTACCAAAGATGAAAGATGTTGTGGACAGACCTTTTCATGTTTCTACGTTTCTCGCTTCAATTATAGCTATGAGGACCCAGGGTCGTCTTTGGAAGGTGAACCAGCAAGGTTCAAGTAATCCTCCATTGAGTGTAACCGTCTTACCCTTGAAAGATGCACAACTTATTGAGTCTACGTTGGCTCTTCTCATGAGCAGCAATGGAGAAAGCGCATTTGCAGCTGATTTTGTGGGTGTAGTCAACGGTAAGAAGTCTATGAGTTCCAAGTTTTTGGGAGTAATTCAGCTTTTTCGAGACTATGTGGCTGGAAATTTCACCAATGATACTGCAATCGAGGCAAAATTGGTCCTGGTGATTCGTTTAATTGACAAGCAGTTGCACCGCCGTGAAGATGATGTTCCTCTTTTATATGAATACTCGCGGGCTCGATGCTACGAATTGCTACAGCAATATGAGTCCGTTGACAAAAGCTGGATCGAGAACCCGTCCGCATGGAATGCTTCGCTTTTGTCTTCAAGTCCAGGAATTCTGTTGAAATCAGACCTCAATTCTGACTTTTACAACTATCTAAGTGCGACTGCTTTAAATCAGCAAAGAGTTGAAGAAATTGAAGACACAGAGTTTCAAACGGAAGATCCGCTTGTGCTGCACCGTGAGTCCTTTGGACCCGTTCCCATCTACTGTATAGACTCGGAACATGCCCACGAAATTGACGACGGAATTGCAATCACCAGCGATGAGAACAACTACAAGATTCTGGTTCATGTTGCCGATCCCACGTCGTATGTTCGGCTATTTTCCAACCTCAGCAACGTTGCATTTGAAAAAGGTACAACCACATATCTTCCTGAGGGCCCCATAATGATGCTTCCCAAGTTTGTTTCTGAAATTTGTGGTCTTGGGTCGACAAACGAAACAAGAACGTTTGTTGTAGAATTCGAGATTTCAAAGAGCCTTTTGCAAGAGTTTCGAAACCCGCAGAGCCACGGCGACCAAATACAAAGTGTGCTTGAAGCGGTCGCAAATCAGGTCAAGACCAGCTCCAATGTTCGATATTGCACCGCAACCAATTTCCCTCAAAAGTTTACATATTCCAAGGTGAACGAGGTGCTCAACTCGCCAACTTTAAGTGACGACACCAAAAGCTGTGAGCATGCCAAGAACTTGGTCAACTTGTACGATGTAGCCCGGCTCCTCCATAATGCTCGGGTATACACCGGAAACGCAATTGACACAGATATACCGAGGTCTTCAGTTCTGGTGAGTTATGCCCAAAAAGGCAAGCCAGGGCTTGTGGAGTCAGAACATGGATACGAAATGACGCTCCAGCACACCCATGGCGATAAAGGGTACCCAGTCATTAGCATTGGAACAAATCCCGACCAAGCAGCAGACTCCAAGTCGCAGACTCTAGTTTCCAATTTGATGGTTGCAGCCAACACTGCCGCTTCCCAGTTTGCATCCAGTCATGGAATCGAGCTAGTTCATCGAGCGCAAGAAATCAGTTTGGAAAAGAGCGTCTTGGAACAGTTGCAAAATCTCACCAGAAGAAGATATGAAACAGCGACGCCATTGTCAGTCGAGGAAACGAGTCAAGTATTGTCGGTGCTAACGTCAGCCAAGTACAAAGTGGGAAGAGATCGGCATGAGGCGTTGGGAGTGGAAGGCTACGCCACAGTTACGTCTCCATTACGGAGGTACGTAGATATGGTCAACCACTGGAAATTCCAAGAGTATTTTTTGGGCAAGCCATTGTTACTGTTGGAACAACTACACTACATTTGCCATCATCTACAAGCCCGGGAACTCATTAATAAGCAGGTTCAAGTTGCTTCGAGCAAGTTTTGGGAGGGTATTTTTTTCCGGGAATATACGCGGGAACAGCGCCAGAAAATTAATTTCCAGCTATTACTACGAAGTCACCCCCAATTTGGCGTTGTCCGCGTCAACGTGGTGGGGTTTAACAATCTTCGAGCCAAATTGGAACCGACACCAAACCTTATTCAAAAGTTTAAAGATGGCACATTTACGGTGGGAAAGGTGGCTGAAGGACCATTTGAGATATCCAAACTCGATCTTATCGAAGATGAAGTGTGCTTCAGGTTGAGTGAGTAAAAGGGAACATTCCACTTTGCGGTACCTTTTCTTTTTTGCATGTATATAGATAGGCTCGATTGCATATTTAACAATAGAGAGTAATTATAATTTTAGCGCAACGGTTGCGAGCATGGAAAATGAGTGAAGGGGTTATCGGAGATGAGTGGGGTGATATTTTCCAGGAGATAACGACGTTCGCAAGATGTTGTCCCTTCCTAATTTGATTATTATGAAATTGAGGCCAAGCTAAAAACGGCCAAAGTATTTTTTAGCTTGACGCGAAAGTGCATGAATTGACGTGAAAAGCATGCGTAATTATTATGGCCAAAACCCGCGTTATCCTGCTCGCAAATCAAGGGCAAACAAGTCCGTAATACGAAGGTACGGACCTCGCCCCCGCCAAGTGTTGGTGAAGTGTGGGCTCAAGTCCATTTACGGTAATCATTACTCCTTTTTATGCACGTCGTATTTTTGCATCTCGCGGTTTATGCACAACGTGCATGGGTACCCGTGCGGCCCTTAATCCGAGCCAGCCTTTCACGGCTTAGTACAAAAAAAGCTTCAACGAAGGTGGCACACAAACAAGACGTCAGAGGCTGAAAATGGATTAAGCTTTAAACAATGAACACTCCAGAAAATTAGACTGCAACAATAGCTGACCATATTTCATCAGTGGTAACTTTTCGCGATTTCAACGGATATGATGTTGCGCAGTCCCAAATGGGCCGATTTCGGGCGGTACGCCCCACCGACTGCGTCACAACGTTTTTGCCATGGCTGGTTTGGTTGCGAATTCGTTAACACGAAAATAAATGCAGATCGGACAATATATATATCTGCGGATTTAGGGCAGCCCCGTACATTGTAAACCTTCACTCGCTTCAACTATGGTTTCATTGTTTTCGAAGACTGTTGCAGTCGCCGCTTTAATTGGAGGTTCCGTGGCTAAGGATGTTGCCTGTGCCGTTGGAGGTGTTCAACAGTCCATTGTTGACTTGGACACTGGGTCCTGTAGCTTTAACATTCCTGCCTCCCAGCCTGCTATCTGGGAATACTCGTCTCCAGAGGACTATACTGCTGAGTTTTACTTCGCCGTAGTTGACACGGTAAGATACTTCACCGACATCACTGGTGCTGGCCGCAGCATCGTGATTCCTGCCAGATTCTTATATGGCCTTGGAGACTTCCCGCTCTTCCAGATCTTCTCGCAGCAAAACTCTCCCTCAAACAGTACCGGAGCTTTGCGCAAGAGATTCGCAGCCATTCCTACTCTTGACCAAAGAGATGAGGAAAGCGACTTGGTTGCGCACTTGAAGACTCTCGAGGGAACCGAAATTCCAAGCTTGGCTTTCGCTGTTGTGGACCCTGCTGTAGCTTCAAGCAGCGGCACTGAAGCTACCACCACTTCTGGAGCCACTTCTACTGAGACCAACACTTCCACTGACATTGTCACCATCACCTCGTGCTCCGACAACGTATGCCACGAGACCACCGTTCCTGCTCCTACTGTTACCGTGGAGTCCACCACCATCGTCACCATCACCTCGTGTAGCGAGAACAAATGTTCCAAGACCGCAGTTCCTGCTACTTTGGGTGAAACCACCGCTACTGTTGGCGGAGAAGTCACTTCTTACACCACCTGGTGCCCAGTTTCCGAGAGTGAAAAGACTAAATGGGTCACTGTCACTTCATGCCACGAAGACAAGTGCCACTCCACCGTTGCCCCTGCCACTCACGGATGGACCACCACCGAAATTGAGGGCACCGTCACCTCGTATGTCACCTGGTGTCCAGTCACCGAGACTGCTCCAACAGGCACAGCCACCAAAGCTGCCACTACCGGAACAGTCACTAAGGCTACCCAGGCTGCTTCTACCGGCAAAGTTACCGTTGTTCTGACCGCACCTGGTGGAGAGGTCGTCACCATTGTCACCAAGGCCCCAACTGTAGCCGGTCAATCTACCGGTGTTGCCACCAAGGCACCAACCGTTGCTGGCCAGTCCACCTCCGCTGCCACCACCGCAGCTTCCGTTTCCACGTTCGAGGCTTCTGGAAGCTTCATCGGAGCCTCGTTGCTTTCCGTGTTGTTGATGCCCTTGTTGGCTTTGATTTAGGTTCGGTTGATCCTGTACAATTTTCATTTCGGTTATGATATCATTCTTCTAAAAGTCCTTTCCTAGCTACGGCTTAATTTCCTAGGCATTGTCTCTTCGGTTCCGGTTTTACTTTTACGTTCTAATACATATATACCCAGAAGTTGTAGAAGCAAAATAGTAAGTTCGCATTCGCATTTCGCATTTCGCAGCCACCGTGGTGCTGCGGCCTGCCAAGTCCGACTACGGTTTTGGCGCGAAGCCCACGTGAACCAAGACGAGGAACGCTTCTGAGGAAGGAGTCAAACGCGGATGAATTTCCCCCGGAAACAAACAAACTTTGACTCCGAAACCGGAGGTAAACAAATAAATAAACAAATCTCATCGGCCACAATGGTCCGTAACCGATGCACAACGTTCCTAATAATGGCCCTTATTACTTCTGGAATTCATCTCGTGCTTCCCCTTTAACAATGGCCTGACACCGCACTACTGCAAAATTTCAGGTACAATTTCTCGTCAATCGCCCGTTCGGCGCGCTAAAACGCGAAAACAAGGGGGACTCGCGCACCCAGTGCGGCGGCGTGCCGAGAGATTTCGCGTTGTGCAGCAATTTGCAGCCAACCGGCGCATCTGTTTCATCGGTCGGTATTTAATGCGGTGGCGGCGTCCTCAACCCTCAGTTTTTCTCACCTAGTCATTCTTTACTACTAGCGTTTTTGCACACTTTCTTTAAAACCAGCAAAAATTCAAAATGAGATTTTCTTCCGTGGTGGCCCTCGCTACCTCTGCTGCTGTTGCCGCCGCTAAAGATGTGGCCTGTGTTGTTGATGGTACTGCCGTTTCTACCGTCGACCTCGACACTGGTGACTGTCAATTCCCAATTCCTGACTCGTTGCCAGTCAGCTTTGAGTACACTTCTCCTGAAGAGTACAAGACTGACTTCTACTACACCATTGCTCAAAACTTTAGATACTTCAACGACATTGTCAATGCCGGCCGTATCATCTCCGTGCCTGCCAAATCTTTGTACGGTTCTGACGCGGCTCCTTTGTACCACGTCCACGCCGAGAAGTCCCCAGCTTCCAACTCTACCTTGAAGAGAAGACTCGATGCCTACAAGAGAGATGGAGCCTCCGATTTGGCTGACTCGTTGAAGACTTTGGACGGTACTCCAGTCGATGGTCACAAGTTCCAGGTGCTTGACATTTCCTCCGCCTCTGGTTCTAGCGTGACTGCTGCTCCTGCCACCTCCACCGCTACTGAAACTAACACTCTTATTGTTACCATCACTTCTTGTTCCGACAACAAGTGTTCTGAGACTGTTGTTCCAGGTAAGGAGACCGTTACCACCGTCACTGTCAATGACGAGGTCACTTCTTACACCACCGTTTGTCCTCTTACCGAGGAGGCTACTTCCACCAAAATTGTGACCATCACCTCTTGTAACGAGGACAAGTGTGTCGAGACCGCCGTTCCAGGTAAGGAAACTCTCACCACTGTCACCGTCAATGGTGAAGTCACCTCTTACACTACCGTCTGCCCACTCACCGAGGAGGGTACCAGCACCGAAGTTGAAGGTACTAGCACCGTCTTTGTTACCGTGACTTCTTGTGCCGACAACAAGTGCTCTGAAACCGTTGTTCCAGGTAAGGAAACCCTTACCACCGTCACTATTAACGGCGAGGTTACCGCTTACACCACTGTGTGCCCGGTTTCTGAGGAGAAGGAGAGCACTGTCTACGTTACCGTCACCTCTTGTGAAGGCAACAAGTGTGCTACCTCCATCATCCCGTCCACCGTGGCCCCAGTGACCGTCCCAACCGGTTTCACCAACAGCTCCACCCCAGCCACTGCTGCTCCAGCTACTGAGACTCCAACTACTTTGGCTCCTGCCACCGTTGCCCCAAGCACCGGTGCTCCAGCCACTAAGGCTCCAGCTACCTCAGCTCCAGGTACCTCTGCTCCAGCCACCAAGGCTCCTGCCACTGAGGCTCCTGAACAGGACACCACTTCTACCGTCATTGCTACCGTTCACCAAAGCTCTGCCGCTGCTGAAGCCTCCTCAGTTTCCACCTACGAGGCTGCCGCTGCTGGTATGTCCAAGTCTTTCTTGGCTTTGGCCTTGATTCCATTGGTTGGACTCTTCTAATTTTGATACCTTTATGATAGATTCTTCGCTCCTACAACATTAGTGAGCAACTATGTTATTCTATGCCACCTTCAGTAGGCTTGATTTCATATCCTTACAGGATTTACAATGTACTATATTCATTGTACCATAAAACAATTTATTTCGAATACACTTAGACTTTGTACTCCATCTAGTAAACTTCTAAAATGTAACGTCCTTCTTCCTTCAACTCCTCAACAACCTTGGCCACTTCCTTGACTTCTGTTCCATTCTTGCGGGCTCCGTTCGTCACAATGTCTTGAAGACAAGCGGTGATATCAGGAACTGGCCATGTTGGACCACACAAATAAAACGAACCATTTTTCTCAACAAACGCTTCGGTAAGTGGCTCAATTGATTCTCTAATTTTGTCTTGAATGTAGATTTTTTGAGGTTGATCTCTCGAGAAAGCAGCTCCAATATGGGTCAACACTCCAGCATCTTTATATGCCTCCCAAAGTTCACCGTAAAGATATTCTTCTTTCTTGTGGCGAGATCCCATGTACAAGTAAATTTCACCAATTTCCATACCTTGCTGCTTTTGCCAGATTTTTTCTTCAATAAATGCCTTGAATGGAGCAAGTCCAGTACCCAAACCGGACATGATGATAGGCTGAGTGGACAAAGGTGGTAACTTCATAACCGAAGGTTTAACACTAACCACCAATTCGTCTCCAATTTTCAAATCTGACAAGTATTTGGAAGCATGTCCATATCTCAAACGGCCCTTAGGATCAACCCAGTCGACAACCACAATTAACAAATGAACTGCGTTGGGATGAAGCTTTTGCGACGAGGCAATGGAGTATTCTCTTCTCTTCAAAGGAGGAATGATTCTCACCAACTCCGAGAATGATGGTCTTGCCGAGGGAAATTCTTCAAGAATATCCACAAAGGTATCGAAATCGACATCCTGTCTTTTCTTCAACTCTTCAGCACCCTCAGAACTTGCCAATTTCTCCAAGTGGGCTTTTTCCTTCTCGTTGGTAGCATGCTCTGCCAATGCCTCATAGAAACGCTTGGGAGGCTTTCCTAAGAAATCAACGTTGTCGTATAACGCCTGTCTAGCTGAGCGAACTTCAAGAACCGAGGCATTCTCCTTGCTTGTGACTTGCACGATAGAATCACCATCAACGCCATAAAACTCAAGGAACTTTTCAACGGCTTCAGAATTGTTTCTGCCGTGAATTCCCAACGCTTCACCGATATCATAGGTCAACCCAGTACCACTAATGTCAAATTCAATGTGGAAAATATTTCTCGAGTACTCAGCAGGAGTCAATCTTCTGTTCTCCTGGACCTTGACCACGAAATTCTTGACAGGCAAGTCAGGACGAAGATCGGTCTTCACATCGTAAGCTTCAGCAAAAGTGAACTTTTTAGCCAAATCCGAAGCGGTACCGTCAACAGTTTCCTCAGCGTCTTCAGTGACAATGCGTGGGTTAGGAAAGAAGGACGATTCAGTAGGGAAAAATGGAAGCTGTTCAGGCTCTTCTTTTTGTTCTTCCTCCTTTTCTTTTTGTTCCTCCTCCTTTTCAGCGACTTCATCTTGTAAGTTGCCCCATTCCTTGGCAACTTCAACTGGCTTCAAGCCTTGCTTCTCATCGACCGTAGCAATAAATTTGTCAAGCACAGCAGCCAACAATTCGAAACTGTTACCATTTGCTTGCAAAAGCTTGTTGACAATGAACCCATTCAATTCTGGATATGCGGATCGCCAGAAACCAACCTGGGTCAAGAAGTCCTCAGAGAATCCCTTTGTTGAGTCACTGATCTGATCAAGATCGTCCACAATCGAGAAGTCTATCAAAACCAACTTGTTGTGGTTCTTTGCCAAACCACGCTTGAAACCGGTTGGAAGTTTAGGAACCACATCTTCCTCAATAGAGGTCTTGATAGGTTTCTTGTTACCAAGTAAAATGGTAGCACCAGGCTTTGCCGTGGCCAAAACATCGTAGTTGGCAAGAACAGAAACATCTTCGACCAAAATTACATCGGCAGAATCCACGGTAGAGGCTCCAACAACCTTGGGAGCACAAGTAATCTGGGCCTGGAACAAGCCACCACCACGGGAATTGTCAAATTTATTTCTGATCAACACCTTTTTCTTCTCATCCAAAGATAACGACAAGGCAACCTTGTTAGAAACTTCGACAAACGTTCCATTGTCGTGTCCCCATACCAAGTACTTTCCTTCTGGAGAAGTATTGGCAGTAATGTTTTCGTCTTTAAAGTAATCTGGCTCAACCAAAGCAGCAGCTGGGTTCCATGAAGAATCATATTCAGCAAAAAGCTTGGCAATTGTGACTGGACTCCAAACAAAATCTAAAGGATATGAAAATCCGTCCACAGCCAAAGTGTGATAACGACCACTCAAAAACAAAGCCGAAGTCACATCAGCTTTCAACGAAGTAGACACATTCTTGGAGACGTTGTGTTGACTCAAAACCACCAACTTTTTAGTTGACGAAGGAACCACAGATGCAAATTTGGCTGCGTTGAAAGGTAAAGGTACCCTGACTTTGATGAGACCAATCTTTGCAATGTTTCCAACACGGTCCACAACGGAGGAGAGCTGAGTAGCTTCGTGTGCACCGTACACGACGTATACCACGTTTGGGGAGATGGAACCGGAGTACTCGAATTGGGAGTAGGAAGTGCCTGCGATGGTATTCAATCTGTCCAAAGCGTAACCAACAAGATCCGAGGATTCGGCATTTGCACCTGCCAACAAGTTTTGGTAGAGAGAGCCCAAATCAGAGTACGGCAACAAGCCATCGAATCTGGTAAAAGTCTTGGAAAATTCAGGTCCATCGGCCAATAAAATCGATGGGTTTCCAGACATCGCGGCGATAAAGTGGTTCAATACTGTCAAATGTTGCAATTCCAAACCATTGGTTGAGTCCACAGGACTGATAACTGGGTACTCCAACGACCGGGCCACAGACAAGGCGCTAATATAATTGGATACAAGCGAATTGGTCTGTTCATCGTAATCAATGGCACTCACATTGAGAGACAATGGAAGGTCACCAGACCTCGAAGTGGTCAAAGTTGGTCTCATGTACACCAAAGCATTGGCAGGAACAACCGTAGACAATGGTTGACCCGAGGTTCCATTTTTACTGTAGTATCCCAAAATAGCATTCGCAGCTCCAGATCTAACCTGGAACTTGTGGAAAAAAGGAACCACTCCAAAAGCATTCTGACGACCATAATGTTGGGACCAAAGCTGCAAATGGGCATCCAACAAGTTTTCCGCACCTGGTGCCTCGTAACTGAAAATCTTGCTACTAATGGCATACAAACTCTGATTTATGATTGTCGATGCAGACAAATAACTCGAGTTTTGCACCAGAGATGGATCGGCCACGGCACCAAAAGGATTGCTCTTGACTGTCGCGAACGAGGAGCTCACAGAAACCTTGCTTCCATGCTCACTGGATGCACTCGAAGCGAGGGCATGGGGACTCATGTTGTAGTTGAAGAGATAGAAATTGGCTGTGAAAAATAATCGTTATCAATTTTCACGTGACATGAGATGATTCCCGCTTATGTAACCGATCCGGATCTTATGTCAAGGTTGTACTGTGGCTGATGTCACCATCTCTTTTTCATCCATTATGCTTTTCAGGGGTAATCGGATACTTTCCCGGCATTTGAGACATAAATTAACTTTTGGACGCGGAATTTCAGGTACGGGACTTAAAAGTGGTGTCCAGCTGAACCGTGCAGTATTTTTCGCAGCCATTGGTGGGGCATTTATTGGGGCTGCAACTGTATTTGCAACTACTACTAAAAACCATGAAAAGAACAAACCACCTCAACTTTCAACGAGTCCAATTGACACGGTG